TTGAATTGATCAAATAGGTAACATAAAAAAGGTACAATTTTAGATGTTAAGGTGTTGGATTTTGCTTAAATAATATGCTTTAAAGGTTGTTTTGCTTAAAACAACTAATTCATAATCAGTAAGTATTAAGCTTTACTTGAATCGTGGCATGTTAAAAAAATAATTTCTTTTTCATTGTTATCTCTTTTTGGGTCTAAGGTTTTTATCTTTGAAACATTAAAATTTTTTTTTTTAATTTTTGATTTGAATTGTTATTTGATAAGGTTGAATTAGTTTTTGAATGCTTTAAAATGTATTTTTTAAAATCTTTCTAGTTTGTATGGAGTGGGGTTGCACTATTTAAACTTTAAGTTACATATGTTTTTATTATTTTTTTACAAGGTATTTTTTCATTAATTATGCAAAAAATGCTATACTTTGATTGGAAAAATTTGTGGTCTATTATTTACTAATTGAATTTAGTTTTGAATTGAGGATTTTTTTATGTATTGATTAATGTGTAAATTCTATTTTTATTTTTTGTTTAAATATATGGTTCATCCCAAATTTTTGGTATTTAGATTGTGGAAGTATGGTGTTGAAAGTTCCAATTAGATTATGTTTTGCATCTTACTTGATTTCGATTTAAAATTTATTAATAATTTTGATTTTTATATTCATGGGAAAAAAGTATTGAAATTCTTGTTTTTTTTTAAATTGTAATTTATTGTATTGGATTCTCGTTGCATTCAATTTTGTTGTTTTGAATGATTATAAAATATTTTAGATGAAAAGTTTTTTTTTTTTGTTTTGCATGTTGTATGAGTTAATTTTTATTTTTTATGTTTGACTCATTTTTTCAGTTTTAATTTTTTGGATTTGCTAAAAATATTTGAATAATCATATTTAAGGTCAGTATATTTTTTATTTAAGTATTATTTACTTGAATTTTTTTTCACCCGTAACAAAAGTGCGGGCTGTCCACTAATTTATTTAAAAATCAAAACCAAATTTATTTATGTAAAAATCTAAATTGAAATGATTACATCAAATTTGATTTGGTTTTTTTATTTTCTTGGTTTATTTGCTTAACCATACAAGGTATAACTATCCTTGAAAAAGCTATTTTAACTTGCATTAAAGTAATAAAGCATTACAAGGGTAAACTCCCTGTCAAGAAGCATCCTAGAGCATTGAGTGTCCATCTTTTTATTTCAAATTTAATTGTTCTCTATTTTGATTGTCTAATTAATTTTTACTTTAGTTTTAATGTCATTGTATGAATAGATGCTCATAATATGATTGGTTGCTTAATTTAAAATTTTAATCTTTCCCTTAAAAGTCTCACATGGTGCATTTATTTAGGTGAATTAATTGGATGATAAATCGCTTGTTAAGCACATGGCTAAGTTGTAATTATAATAAAAAGTTTAGTGGTGATGAAGATAGTGAAGAAAATGAAGACTCAACCAAGCAATAGGTATAAAGAAGTTAGTTAAAATGATTTAATTCATATGTGGTTGCTTTATTATAAGTGCTATTTAGAAAAGACTACCAAGATTTTATTGGCACATTTGAATATTAGTGGACTCATGGTTTGATATCTTATTCAAGTTTGTAATAATTTTGCTAAAAAATTAATTTATTTTGTGATACATGAAATCAATAATTTTATTTATTATATATATTTTTAATATAATTTAATATATTTTAAAAGTAAATTTTTTAAGATTAAAAAAACTATTATGTGTGAATGGTCTCTTCTCTTCTCATTGGAGTCATTGGCTACCAAGTAAGCTAACACATGAAAATCGCTAAAAGTTTGATTTCTTATAGTTGAATTATAAAAAGTTTTGCATATAAAAGCTTAAGATATTATTAATGTTATGAAATTAGTTGAAATATCCAAACAATGGCTACAAAATGAGAGATAATGAATGCGATTCTTTATTGGTTAAAGTTTTGTCACTTTTAAAAAACATGATTTTGTGGTTTATAGTATAGATCATATCTATGTAGCTTTTTAGAAATCATGATATAAAGTTACAAAGGTTTCAAATTTGCATTAATACCAAGTTGGCTTATTTTGTTTTGTCATAGATAGATAATTTCAAGAGCTTAACAATTGTTTTACTTAGATTAATACTGAATTTGTTTTTTTCACTATATGCAACAATCTAAGTAACTCATTTTTAGCTTTGGATAAGAAAAAAATTAATTCATTTTGTTTAGTTTTATACTTTTAAGTTTTTAACGGTTAATCTTATGACATTTGATAGTCAACTTAAGACTTATATTTTTGACATGCACTATAATATTGAACTTTTAGATACTAAAGAAGTTGACTATCTTGATGAAAAATTAGTAAAAATAAAAAAAGATATTTTTTATCCACTACTTTTTTTAATCAAATTAATTTTGATATTGTGAGTTGCCAAAAAGCACTTGAAAATACCTAGATTTACAAAAAGAACATGTAGTTTCAACCATACAAAATCCCACCTTCATCATTCTAAGCAACCTCATTTTTTACTATATTTTCTCTCATGCACCTATCCTTCATTTTCACTGTTTTAGAGTACCTCAAACTTCTGCCACCTTGAGCCACCATTGATACCACCACCTCTAATGGTACCATTTTATTTTTCTCCCGTTCCCCCTACCTTCTTATCTTTCAACACTGAAAGAAATACCTGACTTACCTAAAAAATCTCCTTGCCTAAGCCTCCCATTTCACTTTTTTCTCTTTTTTTCTTGAATTTTTGGACTTTTTCTACTTTGATTTTGCTAAGAATCATACAATTTAACATACATAGTATTAGGGTTGTTTTTACACTCTTACTTGTTTAGTAAACCAAATACATTGGAATGTATGATTGATATGTTGGCTACCTATATACAAAGTAATAAATATATATTTATGTCTAACACATATTTTCACTAATTTGTGCATATATGACAAATCTTGACTGTTTATTCTTGTTTCGTTCTTTTATAAGTATGATAGTAACTTTTAAATCGATAGGGTTTTTGAGTTCAACTTGAATTGATAAGGAATTTTAAGTTTTGGATTAATGTGGCAGGATAGGTTTAAAAAGAAGTGAGATTAAGGTGAAGGTAGGATATGAGAGTGAATATGTAAGAAAAGAGTTAAGATTAGACGTTTTTACCCCTTTATCACTTGTATTTTAAAATATCGCATGATTATAATGCATGTGTTATTCATTTTCGTAAAAAATTTTAATTGAGCAATTTTAAAAACGTTTAGTTCTGATTTGAAATAAGTTAAACAATATACCCTTAATAAAAAATTGGATTAAACGTTAAGTTTTAAATTGGTTTTAATTAAAAAAATAATGATAGATGAAAATAGGTAAAATAAAAATTATATACTTAATAAAATAAAATAATGCATTTAAAATGTTTACTTATTTTATACATAGTATACTTAAAAAATAATAAAATGCTTGAATGCATAACTAATTTAATCTTTTTTTAAGTATAATTTTTTTTTAAAATAAGGTCTTAAGAGATTCATATTTTGATAATTAAATAAAATATTTTTGTGTTTTTAAATTTCGTCTATTAACTATATATAAATAATTATAGGGAAGCTTAATTGGTTAAAACAATAATAATATGAATAAAAATAAAATATTTAATTAATGTTAATTATTAATGTTAAATGTTGTTATTTTTGACTTACTCTTTATTAGATTGCTTAAATATTCTTTAAAAAATATTTAAGCATATATATATATATATATATATATACACACTAAGTATATATAATAGTTTTCTAAATTTTTGAATTTTTTAAGAAAAATCTACTCATGCTATTTAATTGGAATATAAATTAAAAATAAAAAAGCAATCAAATTTGGAAACAAATAAAAAACAAATAGGAAATTAAAGTAATGATCATGTCGAAGAAAATAACTAAAAAAATAATTTCTAGCTATACGAATGCCATGAAATCCATAAAAAAAATGAAAATGAAATATCAGAGGAATAAAATCTTCATTCTCTTTCACAACAAAATTTTTTTTTTATAGAATAAATAAGTAAGAAAAGAGTCACTATCATTAATTCGAAAAATATGAAAAGATTGAAATTAATATAACAATACTTGCGACTTGTTTTCTTCTTCTTATTTTAATTAAACTAAATGGTTAATAGCATATGAAAAAGTTTTAGTTAAAATTTAATGATATTATATTTTTCAAATTTTTATTTTTAATTAATTAATTAATAGAGTAAAAAAAGTTTGAAATTAATATAATAATTTTTTTTAACTCTATCATTTTACTTAAATTCAATTCAACGGTTATTACAATGTAACAAAATTTTGACAATAAATTAAAAATGTAAAAATTGAAATTAATACAACAACTATCTTATGAAATTTTCTTTTTCTACCATTTTAATTAAATTCATTAGTAGAAAAGTATGAGAGAAAATGAAAATTAATTTATATATATTAAATATTTATTTTCGAATCATTAAAACATCAAAATTAATACATTAAAATTTCATATTTTATTTTTTTTATTAATACTAATTTGTTTAAAAAATAATTAATACTTGCAAATATTGAAAATAAAAAAATAAATATTTTCATATTTTATAAATTTCTTTTTAATATCTATTTCTAAATGATTAATTGTTAAATTAAATTTAGTATTATGTTTAAACTTAAGTTTACATAACTTTTTACTTTTTTATTGATATTAATTTAATAAAAATTAGTACTTGAAAACATACATTGAAATTAACATGATAATTTTTATATTCTTATTTTTATTTAAATTAATTTGTTCAAAAATAAAAAATATTGATATATATTTATTATGGAGAAATGATGAAAATAAATAATGATAAAAAACTTATTAATATATAATTAAAATTCATAATTACTCTCTTCCTTTATTGACCTACCATTCTTTCTATTAAACAAAACCTTGATTATAAAAGATAAAAAAAATTTGCTATTATAAGCTATAACAATTTATGTAGCTAATAGTAATTAAACAAAAAAAAGAGTAAATGAAGAAGCAGCATGAAGCAACGGTGAGGTTGAGCTCATGCGATGACAACTCCCCCGATATTTTCGTTGGCTTCACTTTTCGTCAATTCTTTAAAGCCCTAAAAAACGTAGAGAGAGTGCACAGCGCATAGCACAGCATAAATACAGCATAGGCGACGGTGAAGGCGACGCAGCCTCTTATCTTTGAAATCGAATCCCTTTACAACCAAACGGACAGGTTTCCTTTTCTCTCTAATTTCTAACTCTTATTCCTCCTTCAATTGTGTTTTACATTGTTTTTCAAATCCCTAGATTCTCTTTTTTTTTTAATGATTTCTTTTCTGTCGCTGACGAAATGTTAGAAATAAAAATATCAATTTGAATTTTGTCCCTCAAAATTATCTTCTATTCCTTTATTTAATGTCGATTTTTTTTCTGTTTTTATTTACTGTATTATTATTATTATTATTATTATTATTATTATTATTATTATTATAAAAATTCCCAATTACATTTTTTTTGTTGATACAGATGGTTTCTGCCAAAAAAAAAAAAGGAAAGGCAAAAAAGAGGAAAAATAGTCTGAGGATTTTGAATCTTTTGTTTTGTGTGTGAAAAAAAAAATCAATTCCTATTGTTTGATATTTGCGTAAAATGACAGCAAAAGTTTACTATTTTGGCTGTTGATTTCTTTAAGGTTTAAAGAAGAAGGAAAATAATAAATTTGATTAAAAATTGTTCATCAAATTTGAAATTCTAAGTTGTAATTTTTCAAATATATTGTTTGCTTTTGTTTCCAAACATACTTTTTTTTCTTTTTTTTTTTTTTAAATTTGGAAGCAAAATGCTAGCAGAACTAGCAATAACAAAGGGAAAAATACTTTGTTTGCTTAAAATAAATAATGAATATAAGATAAATAAAAATGACAATAGTTATGGAACCTTAGTTTGAGTTGAGGGGGAGATAAGTTCAGGCTTGACTATGAACTAATTTGTCATTGTAGCTTCTTCTTATTATCCCTGAAATCCACAAATTTTTATTTTCTTGATTAGATTTTTTTCACTCTGTTTGCTGGTTTCCAATGGAGAGTTCGGAGAGTTCAGAGTGCTGGTGATGAAACGTTTTCTTTCACTTTGTTTAGGAATCTTTATTATGTATGTATTTATTTTTCAAACTTTTTTTTGATGAAATAGAAACTTTCATTAATCTAAAATGATATCAACATTAGGAAATGACTCAGGGAGATGCCCTTAAGCATAAACCTGACCCACGATACCTTTCAGCCTAGCAATATTATGCTAAAGTGTTTGTAGACCTATTGACAGCAAACCCTATAATGTGCTGCTATGTTTTAAACATCCATTGTTATCCCTGTCCCCTCCCAATATGATTCTCCAGCCTTTTGATTCCTTGGACCACTAAAGCTGCATCAGTTTCCACCTTGACATTCTCCAAACCCCATTCCCTGGCTGTGGTTATTCCAAAGAGAACCGCTTTCATCTTTGCATGGAGGGAACATTTGATGTTTACAATGCGCTTTGCTGCACACAGTAATATCCTTCCTCTCCTGTCTCAAATCACCATTCCCAACCCTGCCTTCCCCACTGTGGTTTCGAAGGATACATCCACATTAACATTGAAATCAGTTTCCACAGACCATGACCACCTCATCGTTGTTTGCCTGCAGTTTGCCTCTCTTTCCAAGACCTGCAGCTCCCTTCCCTTCTGCACCGTTTGTTCCACCTTGGATACTACACCTCCTACTGACCCACATGTAGCTTCATGAAGACTTCTGTTCCGGTTCGACAATAGAATCCGCAGCGTGTACATGCACACTTCCAATTTTCATTCTTGATTTGCCTTTACTAAGAAACTTGTCCTAACATCAGGGGTAGTTGACCGTGTTTCCATCCATCCAAGAACCCAGCTACATAGCCTTTCTCGCACACAGTGGCTAAATACACAGTTGAGGCTGGCTAAATCCTCCTTTGTGCTCCTTGTGGCGAGTAGTCGATGCAGGTCTAAGTCATGCAGCAGATTTTTTGGCAGTAAAAAACAGCTCATGGAATACGTGGGCACCACTTGAACCATTGATTCTATTAATACTGCCTTTCCTGCATAGGATAGGAGTTTTCCTTTCCTTTGCCATATTCTCTCTTTTAGCCTTGCAAAAGCTAGCTTCTTTGATCTACCAATCATGATAGGTAGACCAAGGTAGAAGTCCTATGTCAAGTCTTTTGCAACTCCCAATCTTGTCTTGATATCATCCCTTACACCCTCACTTCTATTCGCACTAAAGAGGACATCTGATTTTGCTATGTTTATCTTTTGTCCTGAGGCATTTTCATATGTTTTAAGGATATTCATAACCTCCTGGCATTTGGCCAGACTTGCTCTCAAGAATAAACAATCATCAGCAAATAACAAATGAGAAACCTTTGGAGCTCTTCTCGCCATTGCTACTCCATGGATATCTCCTCTAGACTAAGCTTGTTGCAATAAACAAGACAGCCCCTAGAAAAGAAAAAGATATTGTGACAATGGATCACCCTGCTTGAGTCCTCTAGTGGGATGAATCCTTCCACATTGGTTACCATTAACCGTAACCAAGTACGAATCACTAGGCACATACATCATAATCCAAGAGACACATTTTACAGAAAAACCCATTTTGAATATCACCCTTTCTAAATAATCCCATTCAACCCTGTCATAAGCCTTATTCATATCTAACTTTAGTGCCAACTGTCTATTCTACCATAACTCCTATTGATCATTCAGTGAATTGTTTTGTGAGCCACCACTGCATCATCTAAGATCATTCATCCTGGCACGAAAGCACTCTGATTTTGTCCTACAATCTTTGGCAGTAGATTTTTCAACCTATTAACTAACATCTTTGAAATGATTTTATACAGAACATTACAAAGTTTAATTGGTCTAAAATCCCTTACAGCACTAGGTGCTCCTACTTTTGGTATCAATACCATGTTAGTATGATTAGGATCCCTGATTGATCCCCATTCTTCAGAAAACCTAAAACAACATTTGAAACACCATCCCCTATTACGTGCCAATACTTTTGATTGAGAAAAGCATTCATACCATCTGGTCTTGGTGCTTTGCTAGGGTTTATCTGAAATGCTGCATCTTTTACCTCTGCTTCTTCTCAAGTTGCATATTCATCTCAGTAGTGATCCGTACATCCAAACTGTCAGCTACCCTATCAATTTGTGTAGGCTGCGAAGTGGTAAAAACCTCCTCAAAGTACTCCAACAAGGTTTTCTCAATACCCTCCCCCTCCAATATCCACACTTCCATGTCATCTTTTAATTTCACTATCGGGTTGGTCCTCTTTCTATGGGAAGGCGTAGCATGGAAAAAACCCATATTTCTATCAACCCCCCCCTTGAGCCATAATGCTTTCAATCTCTCTCTCCACATAGTTTCTTCCCTGGACGGTAAATCAGTCAATTCTTTCCTATATTCCCAAAGCCGGTTAGTTTATGAGATTGCAAGTTCTACATTCAAGTGAATTTTTTAATTTTGAATTACTCTTAGAGTGTGCTTGGATGGAAAATTTTGAACTTTTTAAGAAATTTCAAATGAAGGCATTTTAAATGCATCATTTAAAAATGCTAGCATTTGTAATTATTTTGTTTGGATAAATACTTTTTACAAAGAAATTTAATCTATTGGAGTCTGATGAGATGAAAAATTAATTATAAAAGAAGAATAATTATATTAAAAATAAAAATATATATGTATAAATAAAATATGCAGTATGGATATGATTAGATTTATGAATATATAGATATTATTAATGATATAAAAAATAAAATATATATTAAAGTTAATAAAATGATATTTTATTTTTTTGAGTTTTGTATTATATGATGGGCCATTTGCGGTAAAAGAGTTGGAGGATTAGAAAGAATTTTGAAAACCCGACTCTTTAGGTGGAATTTCAAGAGGGAACTTTAGAACATTAAATTTCCTATTGAAATTTCACCTAAAATTTAAAATTCTCTCTTATTTTTATCCAAACAAGTAAATTCAATTTTTATTTTTAAAGATCTTAATTGAAATGAAACCCATCCTCCAAATGCTTCATCAAACACACCCTTAAGGTTTTAATAAAGTTAGCATGAATTACTCTAAGGTTGTAACCATTTTTGTCAATGACATCAGTTTCTTCTTAACAGCCATGGTAATATGCTGTTCTTTTATTGCTTTGTTATGTTTACATAATATGGAAACATATATTATTTCAGGTAATAGGCTTCATGGATTCGAATTTGCATACTTCACCTCCTGATGCAAAAGCAACATTTCGGAAGCCTTCTAATGATGCATCTAACCGACAGTATAGGCACCGTTCTCCAGTCAGCAGGTTATCTTCACCTGAAGGTTGGTTGTTTAATTCTGTTCAAGTTCTTGGTCGTTCTTCTTGAATCTTATTCTTTGTTCAATTTGTGCCTTTCCACTCTCTCAAAATCTTATTCTTCCACAAGTAGAAGGAAATCGCATTTATTTAAAATTAATAATTCATGTGCCATCTCTTCTACCAAAAAGTAGGGAAAAATAAATTACATTCCTTTCCTTCCCTTCTTTTTCCTTACCTTTTTCTTTCTTCCTTCCTACCAAACAAAATTTAGACTTTTGGTTCAGTGGGAGAAATAATTAGGGCTTGTTGTTGGTTTAGAAAGGACAAGACTCAGCCTTGAGGGCAAAAATAAAATTAAGAAAAAAAGAAATGAATATAATATGGATTAAATCTACCCTCTAGTCTGGGCTGTGAACTGTACCTATGGGCAGTGATTCAAGGTTAGTTTGAAGCTTCAAGGATGCTTTGTTGTGGATTTGGTTTGAGTTTGATGACTATAGGGACTGAACGGTTTTAATCTTAAAGACTGAAAAGAATAACTAGTAGAATATGTTTGACGCAAACATAAACTAAGACTTAACATGCAACCAAAAAATAACCCAAGACTTGATAAGAAGAAGAATTATCAAATACCCCCATAAAATTAAGACTCAATAAGAATAAGATTTACCATAATACACCTGACACGAGCTAAAAATTGGAACTTAATAATATTACTTGTAGCTTCAATAATAACCTAATTTAGTCCAACATGAAATGAAGACCACAATTCCTAATCTACTAGGAAATTAATCTTGACTTCCTCGACCAATTTTTTTTATGCCTCATACCTTTGTTTCCTAATGGTTCTCTTCGTTTCTATCTTGTGTCATACAGTTTGTAAACATGTGGTGAATTCACATTAGAGTCAACACTTCCATTGTCAATAACTGATGTTTAGTTGTGTTTGCTCAAAGCAGTTGATTTGAAATGATTGCTTATAGTTCCTTGAAACTATAATTATTGTTATTTAAAATTTGCTGTTGATGTTGTTTGGTCTTTGCTGCTGGTTATATATGGCTTGAGTCAGAATTTGGGATAAGCAAATCTGTCTATACTGTTTGATTGTCACCCTTAGTATTTTGGTTAATATATTTAAGTGTGATGATACAAACCAGGAAACTTTAGATATATACATAAGTTTTGATGAAAAATGGACTAATGGGTCGGAAATTAGCATAAAGAGGGAGGAGCCCCCTGCATTGACAAAAGACACTTAAAATTCTTTAATTACACCGGAAATGTGAAGAAGCTTTGTTTCAATTGATTTTACCTCTCTCAAATTGTATTCATTCATGATTGCTATTTGTATGTAAGATAACTTTTAAGTCTTAAAAATGCAACAATAGAGCGTTGTCCAATGTACAAGTCTTGACTAATTTATGGTATATGGAACTTTATTGACCATTGAACTAACTAATTAACATTTAGGGCATGAAGTTTCACCTTTAATGACCCAAAACATCAATTTTCTTATAAAAAAATTGCTCTTAAAACTACTGTCTTGACACAAAAATTTGCAAGTTTCTTTCTCTTCCTATCTTGGACCTTGAAAGTTTGAATCCGTCAGCAAAAAGCGTTTTAACATTTCCAAAATCTCATTTCTGATGGTGTATGTTTACAGGAAGTTCTCCTCAGCGTGACTGCAGTGTTAGTCCCATGGTTTTAGGGGATGATCTGGTAAAATGTGCTGATACTCAACCAGGAAGAGATGGGAGAGATCTAGATAGGGATTCTAGTAGGAATCGGTATAGCAGAAATGGTGAATCTTATAGATATTCTGATCGACAGTCTTCCAAGAGTACTCATGGTTACTCCAGGCATGATGATTATGTCAGAAATGACAAACGTGCAGATGAAGATAGCAAGTACAAGCGATTGTCCTCTCGTTCTGGGGAATCAAGAGTTAGCACTCACTCTGATCATCCAAGAAAAGAAAGTGACCATATTAGGTCAAAAGACTATTCACGTGCTGACAAATATTCTCATGATAGATATGATGGTTCAGGACATAGGAGCAGGGACAAGGAGAAAGAAGCACCATCTCTAGAGCATCAGAAATATAAAGACAAGGATTCATCTTTTGACAGGGTTGGCTCTGGTAGGAGATATGGCAACTCTATTTCTGAAGAGATGGATAGAGATCGAAGAAGGCGGGGCAGAGATGGTCGAGATGAAAAAGGGGACTATCATAGAAGCTCGGGAGATAGAAGAGGTGAGAAGACAGCATCTTACGAAGAATCCAGGGGCCACCGGAATGACTCATCTTCTGGGAGGGAGAGGGACAATGATAAACATCACCTTAAAGAAGGTTACAAGAGTGGGCTGAAGGATGTAGATGGTCGAAAGCCTGAAAAGAAGGAGAGACTGAAATATGATGAAGGGGAAACTAATCTGGAAAAGGACAAGTATGGTGGATTTCTGAAGGAGCAATCTGAAGAAAAGTCTATATTTGACAGTAAAAATCATGAATCTCCAATTAAGAAACCGAAACTCTTTGACTCAGGCAAGGGCATTGATTATGGTAAAGATTGTAACTATTCTGTGCTTTTATTTGTGCTTGATTTTACATTTTAGAAGCAGTTATATTCATAGCTGTTATCCAATAGATTGATGTTTATTATATGATTTTTAATGCTGTGCAATTAGTTTCTAAGTCTTCTTCTACTATAGCTGATGAAAAGCGGCCAAGTTTAGAGAAAGCTGAGGAGAGTGGTGGAAGAGTGACTGTGGGACAGGCTCATGGCAACGATGTTGACATCACTAATGACCTAAATGCTGCAAAAATTGCTGCAATGAAAGCTGCTGAATTAGGTATTCTTTAGATTTGGCTTTGAGGGACATTCTCTCTCTCTCTCTCTCTCTCTCTCTAACTTAGAACTCAATGCCTTATGAAAGCAATGAAAGATTTGTTTCAACTTGCTGTATCCTTTAAATTTTGATAGTTGGAATTGAAGTGTGGAAATAGTTCCTGGAAATGGAGTCATTAGCATACTTTTGTCATGAATTACTTAGAAGCTGTGAGGTTCACATGGCCTCGAGTAACATGGAGTCTTTTTTGTCATTCCCAACCATTGGAAGATTTGTTTGTTGGGGACCCTAAGTTTTTTACCGCTCTATCAAGTTTTGAACCTCAAAATGCAATGTAGTTAACATAACTTGCATCCACATGAAGGGTGTTTAACTGGTCTCTGGCTGATAAGACTGCCCACTTTATATCTGCGGTATGCCTGTTATAGAACATTGTTTGATTAGCTTTTCTTCATTGTACCTACTGGATGATACTTTAATTGCATTGGTGTTCTGGTAATTATTTTTGTTCCAATAATTGAAAGAGGGATCCACCTGATAGCTCTATTTCATATTTATAGACATAGTCATTGATTAAGTCATTATTATTTTCTTTTGTTCCTGTTAGTGGAACAATATAGACTGGCAGCTGGGTTTCCTCAAAAGTTTTTGTTCTATTGCATTCACATGGTGTCTGAATTGATTATCAATGCAGTTAATAGGAACCTTATTGGAGCGGGCCATAGTAATATGACTACTGAGCAAAAGAAGAAGTTACTGTGGGGGAGCAAGAAAAGCACCCCTGCGGAAGAGGTATTTCTGATGAATTAGCTAAAATTTCATGTTTTTGGAAATTTATTCCATTTTAACATAAATTGCTGCTTGTGTCTATATTTGGATGATGTCAGTCGGGTCATCACTGGGATACGACACTATTCGGTGATCGTGAGCGACAAGAGAAGTTCAATAAACTGATGGTAAATCCCCTTTTCTCTGTATGGACTTTTTTTCTTTTTTTGTTCTCTAAGCAGCTTGTTTGCCTTACAACTCAGTCATGGCAACTCTGCACAGAACCTCTTATTGCATGTGCCTCTATGACTCATTTTTCTCATTTAGAGTTTCTTCACATACTAACACAGTTTTAGAGTCTGAGGTTGCCTTGGTACCTATGGCCAATTGTAGGGTGTGAAAGGGGACGTGAAGGTGGAGCACAAACCGGACAAGCAGGATGGCAGTGGTCTCCTTCAAGCAGAGAAGCAGCGGGAACTCCAGCTGGATTTGGAGAAGCAGTACACTGCTGGACTTCGACGAAGGGACGGTCGCACTGTTGGATTAGGTCTTTGAGCATCAAAACAGGAAATTTGTGGTGCTACGTAGGAATGCTTTGTGACATTCTGTTGTACTTTTTGTGGAAGGACTTTTCATGCTATGGCATTCTGAGGAAAAATATGCTTTTGTTGGATGTTTCACGTCTCAGCAGATGGTTCTAACCTTGTGCCTTTCAATTTATAAATAAGCTCTCTCTCTCTCTCTCTCTCTCTCTCTATAATCCTCTGATATCAATTAAATGAAGCATAAATCTGGTACTTGACCAATAAAAACAAGATTTTTTTAGGGGGTAGGGGTAATTAGTCATAAGATTTTGGTGGAAGGAAAGGTATATAATTCTTTTCTCGATTGTCTAATGCATAACAAACTGTCCAACTCTCTACTTATCCGTCCTTTTTGGGGTTTGGATTGGCTATACAATGACAAACATTTTGCTGTGAGCCCAGAAAGGTGCATCATTAACATCATTTTATTGTACTAAACCACCAATAATCTAATTTCAAATATCACCCAATGCAACCGCCTCTTAATTACTTTTTTATCAATATCCTTTTAATATATCTTTATTCATTATTTATCCTGAATCTATAATTTATGGTTTTTTATAATATAATTAGGTGAGTTTTTCAAATTTTGTCTAGATTTAGTTTTCACTTTAAGCAACTGTAAAGATTTTCATATGAATTTAACACGTTAAAAATTTTATTTAAAAATATTTTTTATAAAAGATAATATTTTTTTATCAGCTGAACTAACCCTTGAAGCTGTTTATAATTTATAAGATAAATTATAGTATTCAACCAACATCGTGTTGGGCTAGCGGTAGATGGCTGGCCCTAAGCCAGCTTTTCTTTCGAATCTTGAAACCGGCAATTGTTGGGAGGGACTTACTATTAACATCTCTCGTCCTGGGGTGGCCACCATTTAAAAAGAGGTCAGATCAATTATATTATTGGTCATTTAATCATAATCGTATTTTTAAAATAATTATTAAATTATTAAATTATTCATTACATCAAATATGTTATACATGTATCTGATCTAAAGACAGTAAAACACAAAATAACATCTGACAATAAAAATCAAACTACTATTAATCACAGCATGCAAAAGCTCTTTCACCCCTTGAAGCTACAAATCTTGCCACAAATCATCTATGTCCTATATTTCCTTCAAATAAAGTAGAGCCAAGACAAGTCTGATTCATCACTCACGTCAAGATAAAATAAAAAATACAACTTAATTGAAAAATACATTTCAAGAGACACCAAGCTCGTTAGAACACAACAATAATATAACAAAATAGCCACCAAGACATCAAAAAAGGCTAGATAACATCAGCCATCCGTGAAAAATACTACCTTGTCCACACTAGCCTTAATCAAAGCAATCGGATTTTCATCACAAAAATTTAGCATGGTAGAATTTGAAAATCAAACATGACTGATAGTTGAATACAAAACTTTCCTTTTGTGGTGAGTTTGGATTCTTGGATCTTTTATTTATATATTTTTTACTGTATTTTTTAATATTTTAGTAATTGACAAGATTATTTTATGAGTTTCTTCGTTAAAATCCCTATTCATATATGTATTTTGATTTAACATTTTTTATTTGTAAACTTGAGAAAATCAAGATTCAAAGTGTTGCCGACAATCTCAAGCATTATTATCTTTTATTACTTTGGAATTATTAGTGCATTACTAGATTTTATAGCCTTGAAATTATTAGTGCTATTATTTTAAGTGATACTTATTGATATTATTATTTTATAGACTGCTGTTTGCATTCTACAATATGTTCTTAAAGAGGATTTTAAGGATATTGAGATGAAAGGTATAATGATATTGAGGATTTAAAGAAATTTTTTCATCATTTGAGATAAATTTAAAAAAAATTTATCACCTAAAAATTTTTTAAAAATTTATTATTTAAAATTTTTAAAAATTTTATCATTAGATAATTATTACATATTTTCAACCAAAATTTTTTTTGAAAAAAAATACAATTACTTTTATTGAAATTTCTAAAAATCTTATCTTTAGATAATTTATATTTTTCCAAAATTTTATTCTATTTTTTATTTTTTATTTTTACAATAAACATTAATTATTATTATTAAAATTTTATCTAAATTATTTCATTATTTGAGACAAATTTAGATAAAAATTTCTCACTTAAAAATTTTATAAAAATTTATCATTTGAAATTTTTATAAATTTTATCATTAAATAATTAATACTTATTCTTAAAGAATATTTTATTCTTATTTTTTATTTTTTGTAAATTTAATTATGTAAAAAAAAAAAACTTTCAAAACAAATATAATAACTAAATAAATACCAAAAAAACGAAATGGCTTGGCGGCTAGAAAGTTTGGCTTGGCTGTAGGAAAAAAAGTTGGAATGGCTTAAAAAACGATTCAGTTTGGCTTGGCTTGAGACAAATATTGAAAAAAATTATCGAAATCTGGGAGTTTTTTTTTTTTTTTTCAAATTTTTTTTTTAAACTTCACAAAATCTTCAAAAAAATTTCTTGACTACTTTCTCAGATTTTTACATTTCTCTTTAATTTTTTTTATGTGTTTGTGTGATCTGTATATGCATGTATTTATAGGATTCTGAATATAAGAATTTCAATAAAAAAATGAATCACAATTTCCTTTGAATTATACCTTTAAACCAACTCCAACTTTATAAATCAATTCTAACAATTTCACACAAACTCAACTACCTATTTTTTATTTTTTTATTTTTATTAGTAAAAATCAAAAGTAAACTCTTGGACAAATAAGGGTATTTACACTGCCAAAATGAAAATTAAACTTGAGAGAAAAAATTACAGCAATGAAGATTTAAAAGATAATGATCGAATAAGTTGATTTTTGAAAATAGATGTTTGAAAAACTTTTAAATTTTTGGATTTTTGCGAAGCTTTAAGACTTCTTAAAAGTTCATTTCTAAAAAACCTTTAAGTTTCTTGATAATTCATTTAAAAAAAAATTCAATTTCACCTAAAACTTATCATAAACTTTAATTTATATTCACGTGCATTTTAATCAAAATTTAACCAAATCAATAAAAATAAGATAGAAATCTTATTTTTTAATCAATATAAAACTTAAAAACATAGGTGATTTGAGGTAAATTTGATAGATTTAAATTTTTTTTTTGGATTGAAAATGAAGAGAGAAGAAAGAATAAAAGAGTTTGAATTTGTATGTAGAAAAGGAAAATAAAAAAATGAGATGTGAGATGTATTTAATATAAATAAAAAATTTAAGTTCGAATTCGAAATATATTTAGTAGTAAGGTGTATAAAGAAAATATAAAGGTGCGAATAAAATTCTCCAAAAATAAAATGTTAAAAATAATGAGATATATTGAATAAATGTTGGGGTGCAAATATCAACCATCTTCATATAAGTCGGACTCATCACTCACAACAAGTTTTAACTAAAAATACAACTTAATTGAGAAACACATGTCAAGAGACACCTAGCTCATTAGAATTCAGCAATATTATTACAAAATAGCCACCAATACATCAAAGAAGGCTAGATAACATCAATCATGCTAGTTTTAGGATTTATTAGGATGTACAGTAAAATTAATTTCGATAATATTAAAAATAATAATAAAAATAAGATTTATTTTTATAATGATAAGATTAAATTAATAGTTCAGAATATGTATTTGGATATAAATATAATAATAACGATAAATTAAATTATCATTAAAAGAGAAATGACAGTTAATAACATTAAATTAAAATTTATATATAATAAAAATTTTAAAATATAAATTAATAATATTAAATTAATACAAAAGGCATGCCATATGGGATAAAAAGGAGAAAAAATAAAAAACTTTTCTACTGCAACTTGACACATCTTCATCACCGTCACTTTGGACCGTAACAAAGAAAAATAATAATATTAAATTTAATAATAATATTCATCATTCTCTCCATAATTTTCGACTATAACTTCACACATGAGATAAAAAAGAGAAAAAATACCCCCTGTTGGCCACTGGAGTGATCCTTTTCCAATTGCCAACTGAAGGTGCTTATCCAACCGTGCCACATTGAAAGAAAGCCAAACAGATTATCAACGTGATTGAAGCCAAAAAGTGATCTTAATCGTGCCACATTGACCCTTCGATGGCTTCCAAAAGGGGCCTTAGTAAAAGCATCACCAAACCAAGGAGATTCTGATCAATTCAATTCAAGTTATTTTTAACAAATTCTCGAATAATTTTTTTTAAATGAGAAACTAACCATAAATCTTTCATATTTTAATTTAATCACCAAAATTTAAGTAAATAATTATTTTAATCATTCAACTGTTAATCTTGTTTTTCAAAATAATACGATTATATCAGCAGATTATTAAAAACTAATGGTCAAACGACAATAAAAATATTTACTCAAATTTTAATAATTAAATAAAAAAAATTTAATAGGTAAAGTAACTATTTTAAAAACTTATGAGCGAAGTATATTTTACCCTAATTTATGTTTTAGTCTTTGTATGGCAGAAGCCCATTAGAATAAAAAAAAAACAAAAAAAGCCTCTTGTTGAATCCAAATTAGAAGATTATATATGTAAGAAGTGTGAAATTTGAGAGACAGAGATCTTTGATTCCGTACTCCTACTAATTTTGAAAGATGAACGGTGGCCCGTCCGGTTTCAGTGCGTATAATTTCTTCTCCTTCTTCGTTAGTTGTTTTTTTCACTATTTTTTCTATATTCCTTGAAAATTTGATTAATTATTATTATTTGTGATTGCAGATAATGCTCCAGTGACAAAGAGCTTTGTAATTGCATGTGCGCTCTTCACCGTATTCTTTGGGATCCAAGGCCGTTCTTTCAAGCTCGGTTTGTCCTATCAGGTAAACCCTTGTTAATAAGTGCCGCTTTGAATCTGTCTCAAATCTCTGTTTCTAGGTTTTCTTTCTTATCTTAATTTAAACATTTTATTTATGAATTATGATCCCCAGATGTCTTTAACTTCACTTTTCAATGTGAATTCATATTCTAGGATATATGCTCTTTTTTTTTTTTTTTCATTTTGATTATGTGAACTATATCATAGGGTTTTCCTGTGATGTATCTTTGATCTACCATTTCAATTTAAGTATCAGCTGTTTTTTTAAAATTTTTTTCTAATTTACCAGGATTGGTCATTGCCTTTTGTTTTTATCATCACTGGCTCGATGGATGACATTGCTGTGGGGTGGTTAAGATGAAAATGATTTCTAAGTTAATTGATTGCTGCACATTATTAGATCTTTCATAGATTTTTAATTTGTTTCTATTCATCTTGCTCTGCAGATGTTAGTTTGTTGAGATATTGTTGCAATGCAAATACTAAGATGCATGAAATTCACCTTATAAGATAACAAGTGTATGAATGATAGTCAATTAAGATAACAAGCGTATGAATGATATTCAATTATTAATTAGTCATTCCTCTTCTTACTTTGGCCCAATAAGTTGGCTCAAAATAAAGTATTCTTATGTCATTGATTTGATTGAGGTTGAGAATTGATATATCCAATAGAGATTGGCATCGTCTGCTGATGTTCTATGAACTAGAAGAGGAATACTATATTGACACATCATCAACTCAGACCACTAATCAATAGATTGAGGATAATCTAATAAGACAAGAACTTCAACAACAAACTACATCTTTCACTACTAGATTGGATTGGCTTTACAGACATATTGCTTCATATTCATTTAAGACCATACATTCGGAAGCTCATTGGGCATGCATACAAATAAAATAATTGAAGGATTGAAGTACAAAATTATGATACAGAAACTACGTTTGAAGTAGTGAGGTCAAGAGGAAGATAGGCTTATATTCAACTCCCTTCTAATTGTTAAGCTCGACTTCTTAGTTTATCCTGAAGCAATTAATAGAGCATGTTTTATCTTCTTTGAATGTCTCAATTTATGCATGATAATGTTAGTGTACTACTATAATCATCCTTGTGTCCATCTTTAGGACTAATAATTAAGGTCAAATTTGTTGGTGCTTCTTTTGTTTTTTGAGACATTTAATCAAGTATTGTGATGCCATTCACTTTGTTATTTGTTGAGTGTTCAGATATTATCTTATTTTATTTTATATAAATAAAACAGAATGGCGTAATCCTTTTCTGTCCCTCTCCAAAGCTTTAGTGTATCTGTTTATGTGCTGAATAAAACAAATTCAATAAGTATGCTTCCCATTATAAAAAGCTTATTTGTCTCAGAAATGGGAATAGGGGTTAAAGGGAGGGGGGGGGTTACGATTTGTTGAAGTCACATGGTAAAGCAATGGTGATTTTCTCAGAAATGGAAAAAATGGGGTTGGGGGGGAGGTGTTATGATTTCTGGTCAGAAAGTAAAGTCAGATAGTAATGGTAATTCTCTCAGATATGGGTACAGGGGGATTAAAAGGGGGTGTGGAAGGGGGGGGGGGGCAATTGTGAGGGGATTTGCCTGAACTCTGCTGCAAAACTGCAAAAAATATACTAAAAATTAAGTGATCATAAAGAGACTGATTGTGATGCTAGGCTGTAAATAGCTAATCTCTTAACATCATAATCAAGTTAAATGGCGTTGCATTTGTATTTTTAATTTTTTGGGTAGTTAAAAGTGCCATGTGTTCTTCTAGGTTAATTATGCATAACTCTTACAGATTGTTCCATCTTTATGACAGGATATTTTCAGAAAACTTAGCATATGGAAGTTAATTGTATCAGTTTTTGCCTTTTCATCTACACCAGAACTGATGTTCGGACTTTATCTACTATACTACTTCAGGGTCTTTGAGCGACAAATTGGTTCCAACAAGTACACTGTGAGTAATTGTGGCGTTTATACTAGGTCATTCTGTCGTGTTGTCTTATAGAGTTGTTTTTAATGTTGCACCCAGTATGCTGAGAGTTAAACTGTTACCATAGAATATATGTTTCTGATGAAGTAAAATAAGGTAACAAAACTTGACTAATACTCTGAACACCTTATTAGGAGAGGCCCTGCCATATAAAAGGAATATAAATGCCTGAGATGATACTGTTGTTTGTTATGTTAAAGAATGGATGAAACTGAAACATAAAAGAAGTATTTTAAAATGAGAAGAATTAACAAAGAAAAGAAAATAAAAATTTCTAATCATAACTATTTAAGTAAATTTTGGCATGACGGGAACTATTAGGAAGTGAAATATACGTTTCTTCAAGTTTGGAAATCCTACTTGCTTGGTGATTTGACCTATGTTGTGAATAGCATATCAATTAACATTTTTGTTTGTTCTGGGAATGGTATGTCCTATATAACATTTGATTTCAATTTACTGTTTGAATTTATTGGTATTTATAGCATAATCTACAGAAATTTAGTCATTTTTTATATTTCCACCATAATTTAGTTATTCATGAGGGCTTGCTTCATATGATAGAATTTTGTGTTTACTTTATTCAAGTTTATATTGGAATGACATTAAACCTAATATCAACATATGCATTAATAAAACATCCACATGATGCGAGGGATCTTCTGCTGATGTCATTTCTTTCATAATTCACAGTCTCCTAGTCTTTTATCTTACATTCTGTCTCTCTTGCTCACATTCATATACCTACTATCAGTCTCTCACATGTCAACCTACTCCACCAACCCATTTTCTGATTTCCCTGTAATAGCCAAGGAAAGAAATTAATAAAATAACTGCTGGAGGAGGAGAAAAAGAAAGATGGCAAAGGACTGAGCAACAGCTCCTTATATGTTACCAATCTGATTTTGATTTGGTTTTTTCTTTATTTCGTTCTCTTCCAAGATCAGAAAAATAGAAAAGTTTGTGTATTGGCTGGAGTAGGATTTTAAGTGGAAATGTTCAAGCTGGGCCAGTACAACTGCTGCATTGCAGTGCAGTCCTGTATTGGAGCAGAATGGAACTAGGGAGAGCTGTGTATTGATTTTGGTGAAAATTGGTTTGGACCATCTTGTAGCACCAGTGCAGTTAAATGTCTGGCAACATTGAATTTGACCAGACTAAGGTTGTTCAATTAAATGTCTATTTAGTCGTTTTATTTATTTATTTTTCTATTGTGGCTGGACTAATATATTTGTTCCGGTGGGGAAAAATGAAAATAAATAAGGAATAGCCGGTACATGTATGATTTACATTATTTTTGAGCTATTGACTCATATGCGGTTGATTGGTGAAACACATTTGTTTCCTTTTACTTTCAAAGTTCTGTGCTCTCCCTCCCTTGACATCCACTTTTCTTTTCCGCTCTTCCTACCTATTATTCCTGAAACATCTGTTGCCGCAGAAATTGGAGACTATCCTGGCTCAGTTTCTTTTTCTTCATGAAAATAAGGTTGAATTCCAAAGAGGGTAGAAAAGTTAAGACAACAATTCCCTTTAAATCAGTGTTAGCTAGAGACAGCAATCTACAGTCACATTCCACTTCCACTGGCAACTCTCCCTTATAAGCTATTGTTGCAACAAGTAGTGATATCACCTACACTATGCACTTATTCTCCATGTTATTCTATAACTTATTCTCCACTTTAGCCGGAGATTCTTTTCCTAAAACCTTCATTTTGATGTTGTCTATTTAGGTTGCTGTGAAGGACTGTTAATCGGTTAACCTTTATGAATAGATTCTTCATTCTCCCACCGTTGGACATATCCATCCTTTTTTGGTTTTAACTGCTAAAACATTCAATGAGATGTGGGTACTTTTCTCAGTTCTCCATTGTTATAGAGTGAAGTAAGCAACAATCTGAGTCTTTTTTTTTCTTTTAAATGTAAAACTACAAAGTTGTATGACAAATTTGGTATGTAAAAGGAGAGATGTTATTGGCATAGTTTGATTATATCAATAATTCTTTGCATAATAGAATAAAATATTAATCTGAATTCAAATCAAAATTTAGTTACCCTAACAGCGAATTTGAATTTGTTGAAAATGTTGGATTACAAATCTTTGCTTATATACAAAGGATTTCTAAATTTAGAATTTGAAATCCAAATTTAGGTCGCCAAAAACAACATGAATTGTCCACCGTTGTAAAATTTACTCTGCCACTTAACCTATTAGTGGTCCATCCAGAGGAGTTATTCTATAAGATCACTGAACTTTGTTTTAAATTAATAGAATGAGCTGCCATAAAAAATTTCAGATATGACAGTGGACATCATCAATTGAAGACATTCTCAGTTTGACATACAAAATGGTTTGGATCCTTATTTGTTTTTTAACTTGGCAGCTCATACTCATACAGAAATCAAAGTATGTGTTTTTTTTTTCCTCCCTTTCCTCCATGTAAACTTTTGTCTGCCTTGATTATGCAGGTTTTTATCTTGTTCTCAATAATGGTTTCACTCCTCTTTGAGGTTATGGCTCTGGCTATCCTTAAAGGTATGCACTGTCATATCATTCCATGCCATTTTCTTCTAATATAACTCCATGTAACATCAATCTTTCTGGCTCCTTATATTTTCTATCTCAGTTTCTCTAACCTTTTTTTTTCTTTTGGTAATAATTTTTCCGTTCAAGTTTTAAAATTCTTATCGAAATGAATGAAGTAGATATATACTAGTAGATGAATTAACTGTGAAGAAAAATAAGTAAAAAAGCCTCATATATAAGGTTGGGGAAATTCTAAGGAAATCTTCTGCAACAGGTTCTTCTAAGTATCATTTTGGTAGGATGGGGGTTGTTAAGCAACCAAGAGAAGTTGGTGGTTTGGGAATCAAAATGCTTAATTCTTTGTCATTGCCTTATTGGCTACTGGATATGATAGCCATAAGACTTTACCTTTTGGCATTGATGTGATTATACCTGTTGAATAATGTTAAGCTCTTTTTGGATTAATCATGATCTAGCTCTTATATATTGGCTTCCAACAAAAGGATTTACCTTTCTTTTCTTAAAATTTTTAGTGAAGACAGATTTTAAACATCAGCATGTATGCTTTTCCTTGTCATTTGTGTACTTGGTTAACTATTCTAGTTTTCTATGCTGGATTGTGATGCTGATGGAAAATTTACTTGATATTTAATGTCTACAGATCCGACAGCCAACCTGCTCACTTCTGGTCCTTATGGCCTCATATTTGCATCATTTGTACCGTTTTATTTCGACATCCCGGTTTCAACATGGTTTCGAATTTTTGGTGTTCACTTCTCCAATAAGTCTTTCGTTTATCTAGCTGGTCTTCAGGTAAAGAGTGAGTTATTAGTTTTGCTGCTTATTGTTTATCTTCTACCTTAAGGCCCAGTGATAAACTTCAGTTTCTTTCTTGCAGCTTCTTCTATCATCTTGGAAAAGATCTCTCTTCCCAGGAATATGTGGCATTCTTGCCGGTTCCTTATATCATCTAAATGTTCTTTGCATCCGCAGGGCTAAGGTTGTTTCCAATCTGATACTTGACTAAGAAATTTTGCTTCTTTAACTTTCCTTTCTTGATGGAGACATGGGGAGTACATATAGACTTCCATCTGAGCCATTGATTGAAATATGATTTTGATGCATACATAAGTTGTTTCTTTCTACCTCATTGGCTGATGTCCGGCATCAGACTGTTACGAGTTAGGGCTCGGTTGCCGATCTGGCCACCCAGCAGCCGCTACTCCCTTCATCCTGCGTTCTTTCTACTCTCATCTCTTCCCCCTCTCTTTCTCCTGCCCCCTCCTTTTTCTCTATCTCTTCTCACACCTCCTTTAATCTCTTGTTGAAAATTGCAGCCTTATATCTACCTGTCCTTTTTTCTCTTCTTCTTCTTCTTCTTCTTCTTCTTCTCTCTCTCTCTCTCTCACTCTTTGATCTAATTGCAATTCTTCATTAGGTAAGCTAAAAAGTGATGCAATTACTGTGATTATTTACAGAAATGATTCAAAGGCTTGTTCCTCGTTGGATCAAATTTCGGTTCTTGAATCCTTGTTCATTTTTCTGTCGATAAATTAAATTATTCTATCTTTTTTTTAAGATAATATTCCATAATTTTAGATTGAGGAATTTATGAGGATTTTTCTGAGTTTCATTTGTTGTTGGATTTGTATTAGCTTTGAGATAGGTTTTTGTAAACTTCTTCTCCAAATCCAGCTTTGTTTTAAAAAAAAAAAAAATCTGCTCTGTTATCTTTGGCAAATTGAATTAGCATTTTAAGATTTTATTTAGTTTTGTTTCTGCTATGTTCTTATTTCACTCGTACATTCTTAAAAGCTAGCAAACACTGCCGTGATACATGGTTGCTCTATTCCTTTTAAGTTGTACCTAAAATTGGTCTCTGCTATGTTTCTTTCTTTTTTGTGCCTCTGTTGCTCTAATTCTCTTTGATTTGATAATTGAGTTGGAATTTGTTTGAGAGTTTATGCTGTGGATGTTTTCTGGCTATGGTGCACTAAGAAAATACAGAGGCATATAGAGAGGAATGGATGAGAGAGAAGATAAGAAAGAAAGGAAAAAAAAAGGAAAAAGTAGAAATTTTTTTAGTTCAAATTTAATTATCATTTTTTCTATTAAAGGTCACGCTGTCAAAAATGACAGATCAGCTCATTGACAGCTTCATATTCATGGTGCTAGTGATTTTCCTTAGATTACCAATTCATTAGAGTAGAGGGATTCATTGTGCTGAAATTCTTGAATGGTCAAAGCAACATTTGACTTGAGCACAGGTACCGATTGAAGGATTTGATCTTATTTTTTATGAGCCCAACAAATTTCAATTTACTTAGTTTGAACTTTGCTTTTTTCTTTATGAATATAATAAATCCTCCTAAATGTTTAAATATTGGGTAAACTGAAAATGGTAGGAAGTCATTGTTAAATTGGAATCGTAAGTAAATTAGAGTAAAATAGGAAAATTATTAACAATTTTTTACAGAAGGATTAAATGTTTGGCAATTCAAAAGATCTAACGTTGAAAGTGAAGAAATTGAAATTATTGTGGTGAGAGGTGAACGATCTTTAAGAATTAAGAGTTTATTGTTCCCCTGGTAAAAGCAGTGTTGTGGAACTGAGCTAGAATAGAACTATTTCACCTTTTCAATTAATTTTTTAGTTGTTCAATCCATTTTGTAGCATCATTTTCAGTTTATATGCTGCTATATGTTGATTAATATCAATTTTGTCAAGTAATACACGGTTTTATTGCAGTTCCCTGAGTTTATTACATCATTCTTGTCACGGTTTTCTTGGTCTTCAATGGGGAATCTACCTACAGCACCAGCAAGGAATCTTGCTGGAAATGTGCCTTCCTTCACAACTCGCCAAGTGGAGGCAAGTATTTTCTGAATGCTTTATTTTTCCAATTGCTTACGACATATGTTTGCTATGAATCAGAATGATTTGTAATATAAATGGGCTGACATAAGCATGCATATTTGTCAACTTTGTATACATGATGCATTTGATTGGAATCCCAAGTTGGAATTGGATCACATAAGTAGGGGCTGAGATTTTGTATACAATTCAAATATTCTATTGCATTTGATTGGTGAAACTTGCATTGGTATATGCGAATGTTTATGGTGTTCAACTGCTCCATATTATAGCATGCTTAGGATGTTTTACATTTTAATGTCATAATATTACCTGATAAGCCTCAGTTAAAGTATCTCTGTTCAATGGTTGGATTAGTGTAGTATTCAATAATATTGATAATATATTCTTGGTTCATCTATAAAGTTCATGCCTTTTTCTGAAGATTGAGAAAATGACTACATGTTATGCTGGGAAGCCATACTATTCACTGCTCATTTTGCATACCGAAATAACTCAATGCAATGGACCTTAATGTCTGAAACAACTCTGTTGAGGAATGTACTTCTTTTGTTGGTCCAGTCTAAATCTTCTTGTACTCAGAGCAAAAATGTCCATCCAGTTATCAGATTCTGTCTCTAACAGCCCTTTGGAATTCTAATATTGGTGAAATGGGTATGATTACCATTTGCTGCATGACTATAATTACTGAGGATTCATGGATTTGTGGCTCATAATTATCTTGTTTAAGCTATCTTAAAAGGATTTATTAAAAAACAAAAAAAAAGATCTATCCTAAAAGGAAGAGAAATAGGAAATTCCAACTTCTTTGAGAGGAGATTCGGGCATTTAAGCTGAAGTTGGAATGGGAATCAGCACTAAAAGATGAGATTAGCTCTCGTTGAATCCCTTCAAAATTCTGACTTAATATTGATTAAATATTAGGTAATGGAGCCTTTATTTGGAAGATTTTTTTTTTATCATTATTGGATAACTCAGATGTTTGAGCTTGGTGTAGATATAAAATCTGTTAACAATGTCCTTTTGGCAAGGGAAGAACCCAAAATATGCAGGACATTGAAATATTTTGAAGAAAAAAAAATTAATTGAGTGTTTATAGATTCGCTGATAAGATCTGTGGAAAGATCTTTTCAGTAGCATTGTGGAAATAATGTTTATTTGTATGGAAAATGTGGGGGAAGAACTTTAGAATTCATCATAGTTTGTGCTGCTCTAATATAAAAAAGTTCTGAGAGTAGTTTATAATACTTGTTAGGAAATAACTGACTCCTTACCAGAAGAATTGGTTTTGTGATGGTTGATTTCCTCAACCGTAAAAGATTGTTCTTCTGTGAAGTCAGCAGAACCATCATCACAAGCACTGTAGATGGCTTAATCACAAAGGGAGATTAAGGAATTTGCTCATGAATAGAGAAGATAGAATCAGGTCATCATTTAAATCCTCAACTTTTTTTGAGATGTTGGATCATCTTAGCAACTGTCTTGTCTGCTTTGGGACAATCTTTTTGCAAATAGTTCCCTTTTGCGAAATTCCCAAGGCAACGTCCTTGTATGGATATGGATGCTCTAAGGGGAACATTTTCTTCTTTATTGTATCTGCAAACTCCAGCAAGATAAGGCTGAATGGCTAAATTCATTACCTCAGCCATTATCTTAACTGCTGTTTGACAAAGAGGTCATGGAAATCATATCAGGGTGTAGCTCTTCTAATCCACGACAAAGAACTTTTAACCAGAATTTGAAATCAAAAACTTAGTTTGATAGAATTCAGTCTAGCATGTCTGCATGAAGATATGGATGAAGATGACACACCTTCTGAGCACCTATCCAGATGATGAACTGATTAATAAATAAAAGATAATAGTTAGTATGGTGTAGAACTATTTTATGGATAAATATCAAGCTTGTTCATTTGTCTTGCTTTTACTTATTAGATATTAGAGAGAGAGAAATAGAGCTGTATGGAGCAGTAAAACTTAGGCTCTTTTATTAAGAATTTTCTGCACCTAGAACCCTACTCTATTTGTAGAGACCGAACTTCACTTAATTTCCTACTTCAACTGAATTCATATATTTCCCACTGAATGCATATATTTCCTAGATTATTGACTACAAAATAATAATTTAATATAGCTATGGCTTGTGTTGGAAACAACTTCAAATAAATAATGAAAGTTAAATACTAATTAATGTAAATCCATAACATTCTTGCTCCCTTAGTCATCAAAACTTGAAAAAAACTAGTTGATTTTCCTCTTTTTCCCATTGCTTCAAATGTTGATAAATCTTGCCCAAAAAGTTGTGTTGATTGGAGGGTCTCTTAGACTTGGATTTGAAGCCTTCTGCTCATTACCAATTGATTTGGATAACTTTTTTTTTTTTTCCTTTTAGCTTGTAGGATAAGACTGTTTTCTGCATAGTTTCCTGATGTTGTCAATGGGTTTTTTTTTTCCTTTTTCTTTTCTCGTTACAGCTTGCTTTGAATTGGTCCTAATACATATAAGCATTGAAAAGGTGTAAAACTCTAATCCTGAAATGGCTGTTGCTATTTGATTATGGGGTTTAAATACCATAAGTATTTGATCAAATTATGGGATTGGTCCTAGTGCAAAAATCAACATTTAGTCCCTATACAATAATTTGAACAAATTTAGTCCTTGTACTTTTCGGATGTAAAATTTTAGTCTAAAATGTAACAGGGTTACAAAATCACCGTTAAGTTGCTGATATGGTAATTTTTTGGCCATATGGACTGCTGATGTGGCTTTTTTAGGATATATAAATGCAACATAGGCACTTACACGTTGATTCTTTTCGTTCTTTTTCTGTCCTTTTTCTCTTTCTTGTTCTTTTCAGATTGGTTTCTCTTTCCTTTCAATGCCAAACATTCCTCTATGCATGCAACTTTCTTTACATATTACAGTAAACCCATAATTAAGAAAACCAAAATCTCAACTTTACACTTCAATGCCGAAAACTCAAAATTGAAAGCATTAATCAATAGAAAATTAAAAACCCAAATCTCAAAATTTGATCCGATATTTTGTTTTTTCTGGGTACCCTTTGTTTTTTCTTCAAAGTTTTGTCCTTTGATTTTACCTCAAAAAAACGAACCTCCATTTTTGCAAAGCAAAATATTGCAAAAGCTTTTACAATTCTCTAGGTTTTCCTTTCTTTTTTTTTTCTTTTTCCTTTTTGCTTACATTACAATTTTGTTTTAATTAATTTGCTCATGAGAGAGAGAGAGATTCTGGGGGAAGAATGAAAAGACAAGAGGAAGGGAATTGTTATTTTTGGTTTCCCCTTTTCCTGTTTCTTTCAATTTTGCTTTTTTGATTTAATTAGTAGAATTTAACAGTTGGGGTTTTGGTTTTGTTTTCATTAAAACCAGGTTGTGGCTCTTTTGTCTATCCTTTTCTAGATCGGGGGTTCTTTATTCGGATTAAAGGGGTTTCTGATTGGGAGTGAAAGAGAAATAGGGGAGGGTTTTGAATTGGGATTTGTGGGTTTAATTGGGTTGGGCTGTCGTCAGTCACTTTAATCGGGAGCTGCAGACATGGCTTGGACGTAGGCACACGTTGGACGGTAGCTTTAATGGTGGCTAAACTTTTTGCAGGCTTGGGATCGTGGTAGTGTTGGAAGGAGAAAGAAAGGAGAGAAGAAAAAAGAAAAAACAAATTGACATGGCACTTACATACCTAGAGAAAGCTACATCAATAGCCCACATGGCGAAAAAAGTTATCGCGTTAGAAACTTAATGGTGATTTAGTAGCTCTGTTACATTTTGGACTGACATTTTATATATAAAAAAATACAGTGATTAAATTTGTTCAAAGTATTGTTCAGCGATTAAATTTCGACTTTTGTAGTATAGAGACCAATCTCATAATTTGACCTAAGCATTTCATGCAAAGCATTTGATAGATTTTTGTACAAGTATAGAGACCAATCCCGTAATTTGACGTTTTGACTAATTTTCTCTAATGTTGTTTGTTTGATGAGAAAGTTTGCTTGATACCACTGTTAGCTAACTTGCAGAGTCAGTGTCCGTAATAGGACGGACAGGCCTTTTCCTGTATTTAACTGAGAAGAGTTTGAATTTACGTTTCTGGTAAAAAATTAGCCAGATTGACCACTGATATGAAGAATGTTTGTTCCCTTGAAACTGATACAGTGAAGTTTTGCTGTGCATTACATCAATTCTTTGATGCAATTTCAGTTTCTTCCAAATAAAAATTCACTAATTCTTTGGTTTCAGAGAACCTATCCACCTATTGCTGCACCTTCAACCGTAGAGCCGCCAGAGGACTCCATTGCTACTCTGGTGTCAATGGGTTTTGATCAGAACTCAGCCAGGCAGGCACTTGTGCATGCTAGAAATGACATCAATGCTGCCACAAACATTCTTCTTGAAGCACAGTCCCACTAATTCAACACAAGAATTGCGAGTCCAGATGTTATTTCATTGGTATAAATGCATGATCACACAAATTTCTACACTTTGATGACAACCAATTTGCTTTTGCCTCCAGGAATTTTGTAGCATTGGTGAGATCACTATGAAGTAGTATTTTCTTCCATTTCTGTTAGTAGCTAAGTAGGTTGAGGTGAAGTAATCATGCACCAATGCAACTGAAAGCTGGGAGTTTGTAAAATTGTTTACCCCATGCATGTTCTCATAGATACTAGTATTGCATGTGGGGCTTATGGTCCAAAATTACTGATGATTTTGTAAATTTGTTTGATTTGAATGGACAAGTTAGGTACCTTTCAGTTCCTGCCAAATCTCCTCATTGGAGTATAAGAAAAAAAGGCAGATAATATATCATGGAAGCAAATGACTGTCAAATTGCCTTTAGTTGTTTTCCTTTGCATGTGCTTTCATGCATCTTTATTTCCCAAATTATGAAGTGGATTTGCCGGTTTTTTTTTTTTTCTTTTCTATTGCCTTATTGATAAGTTTACATCCTTTTCAACAAACTTTTGAACTTCCCTTTGTGCTTGATTGTGTGTATGTTTCTTTATATACTTTTATCAACTTGAGCATAACCATTTGTTCTTTTTTTTTTTTTTTTTAATTTATTATTGGTTCTCTTTAACTTTTACATTGGCATACGAAAATTGAACTTCACTTTTATTATTTGCTTTTTTACTCTTACTTAAATATCTATTGTCTTTTTTTGTTATTTTATTTTTGTTTCCTCCTTAATTTGCATGCATTTGCTTTTTTATTGACATAATTATTATTCAATTAGTCACAGGTTGAAGTGTTTTGAAATAACTTATTGCTCCAACCACAATGTTTGTTACTATTTCTACCAGCAAAAGGAAAGAAAATACGAAGGATAATCCAACTACTACAAAACCTTAGCCACAGCAAAATTACAACTAGGAAAATTTTATTGGCACTATGCAAATTACATTAACTGTGTACCACAAAGCAAGACTGCATATTATACAATCTCTCAAAAAATTACTACTCAAACTTGTAGAAGCAGCAGCGAAATAACCATGTTGAACTTTTAACAGCTCATTTTTTTTTTCTATAAAAGTTGGTCCATATGGACGTCATATACTTTATGAAGGGGGACTCCATGTCCTAACTTTAGTGATTTGGGGGGGGGGGGATTTAAGCTATATGGGAGATAGTACACTACACAGTGCTGATGTCCACCCGGCTTTTGTGCAGCTGAAAGGCAGGGGAGATCCAACTTCCACAACTGCATTGGATTCCTGACCAATTGAAATAACCCAAGCGAGCTTCACAATGAGCACAGGACAACTTCCCCTCTATTGCACCTTCTTCAACTAAGCGACATGGAAAATCATCATCACAACCACATTCACACAACCATTTACTTCAATTGACTTGGGAACAAATATGAATAAACTGAAAAGGAAAATCTAAAATGTTATGTTTATAACTCTAGGAAATGTTCTCACCTGCTGTCATCCACCGCAAGGGTTCAACAAATACTGATGAACATTCAGTTTGGGCAGACTTGTTGAAAGGGTTACCACCTCTCCGTTTGTGCCACTCAAAAGATGTCTCACCGTCTCCTGGAATATGATCAACAACATTCTCCTGCAATGCCACAATTCTTCGGCATTTCTTGCAGCGGTATGCAGTACGGTTAATACCTTCATTTGGGGATGCCTCTATAACAGAGGAACTTTCGGTAGGCAAGCCAGGATCTGCACCTAATTTGGAACTGTCTATTTTCTCTCCACGGTTATAACAATCACCTGAAAGCATAATACATAGAAGAACTACCTCAAAGATGATACTCATAAAAGAGAAATTTCCTTTTGCTTTGCAGTCAAATTTCGATGAAGTTTTTAAACTCCATAAGTGAGGTTAGATGGTTGCCATATGCCCCATTTAATTAATTAATTAATATTTTAATTTTCATAAATATACCCTAATAAGACAGCTGTCAACCCTCTAATTTTCCTTAAATTAATCCTAGACTCATAATGCATGGTGGAAAATATTTTAAAGGTCACTAGATTGGTGACAAGCATTATGTGGGTGTTTAAGAATAAGAAGAAATGGATGGTTATGTTTTTAAGTAAAAATGGGTTTTTCTTTTAAGTGCAAGTAAAAAACTAAAATGAATGGGACTTGTGTTCTTATTTCTGAGAAAAGTAAAGGGCAAATCAATCCTTATTTTTATATATTTCCAACAACTTAACTTGGTGTTGGCAACAGATCCAGACCTTGGGGCAGTAATAGATAGACTAAAAGGAATTCTATGATTCATCCTACATGGACCTGAAGAGGGAGATAAATAAAGTGTTGGTGAATGCTATCATGGAAATACTAAAACACTACCAAAGCCATTTATCAAAATAAAACAACCATAAAACAACCACAAAAGGCACCATAAGCTAATATTCAAGTGCTTTTTCTTACAGATGATAGCAGGTTACTGATTGTTAAACTAAATAATTGAAATTCAGAATAAACTAACCAGTCTCAACCAATATGTAGGTTCCTGTAACTTAAATATTTTAGACAGCAAGAACTTGAAAATAATCTTCACTTAAAATATGGACTCTGCTCGCTCATGAAATAGCAAAATCTAATAAACTAAGCTGGATACATCATCATCTTACCATCACCTACAATCCTGACAATGGGCTACTTATATCAGTCAATATATAGTGTATATTTCATTTTAGTACTCAGTTTATTACCACTATTAACATTCTAAAAATTTTAGTATATATAATGAACTTTGTAATCAAAACCACAGTATCCACTGCCACAATGCAACTGAAGATTAAGACAATCTGTAGATTCTTAATGGTGGAGAACAACTTTGTGCTCTTCAAGATATATAGATAGAATGCTTCTTTATTATTTTGAGCTGGGAAACAACTGGAAGCTTTCTTCCTCTTCTCCCCTTCCTCATTTAATTTTGGATGAATAGATTAATTAGTTTATAGATAGCTTGACAGATTGACCAATAAACCTGCTACAGAGGGTTCGATTTAGTTTAAGACGGTTCAGATTAAACTTGACCATAGCATCCACCTCAACCAAAGGATGGAACTTAAAAGCAAAAAAAAAAAAAAAAAGAAAGAGGTAAAGAAAGATATCTTGTTCAGGTCAATTTTCCATTTTTCAAAAAGGCAAAACCAAGGCACTTTAAGGGAACACTAACATAGCACCGATGAAGAAGAACAGAGAAGTCTTAAGGTATGCATAGGACCTAGCATGCTTGATTCTTTATCTTTGAAAAATGAAGCAAACCAGAAGAAATAAATCCTGTCCAAAGGATTGAGGGCAACATCTAAGGCAAAATTTCATTAACAGAAAGCAATTGAGATGATGAAAGGTATATTCTATCAATTAAAATTGATTGTGTCCATTCTCAAGCCCCACCCTTCCCTCCATGTCCATAATTGCATGTCAAGCATTGAGATAAACATTGTCATCTGAAAAAACAAAACTTAAGCTGTCAAGTATTACCCCCTCCATTCCATTATCTTAAGATCTATTTTAATTGCACAAAGTTAAAAGACAATTATGAATGCAGTTGACTCATAACATTCTAGACATTTGTCCTCAATGAGTATCCATTGTGTTGCAACAAGGGATATAAAAGTAGCAAACATGCACCTTGTAGTGTACAAACAATTTGAGACACAGCAAAAAGGAAGACCAAAGAAAAACATCCCATTATCTTAAAACCTATTTTAATTGCACAAAGGTAAAAGACAACAATAATGCAGTTGACTTGTAACATTTTACCATTTGCCCTCAATGAGTATTCATTGGGTTATAACAAGATATATAAAAGTAGCAAGCAGGTGCTTTGTACTGTACAAACAATTTGAGACACAGGAAAAAGGAAGACCAAAGAAAAAGATTAGTTTTTGTTTAGATGATAGCACATCTCATTAGCTTATACATAAGAACTGGAAAAGAAAACATTTATATGCAGTTGCAGGGACCAATTCTGGTTGATAAAAGTTAACATGAACCTTACTAAATGTTTTGAAAAGGGATGAATTGACTGAAAGGAGGCTTGTCAAGTCAATTTCAAGCATACCAGACCCACTTCTGAACCATTTTGAGGAACAAAGAACTGAAATGGTTGTTAAGCCCACTCTAGGAAGCAAACATTTCTCAGATCGGCAAAACTTCACCTAAGTGTTGGCATATCCCTTCCTAAGTTAGTATGAAAAAGTTAACCATGACCTGAATATTGTGAATGATTTAGAAGAAGAACATGGCGAAAAGGTTGTTAAGCCCATAGCCCACTCTAGGAAGCAAACATTTCTCAGATCGGCAAAAATTCACCTAACTGTTGGCATATCCCTTCCTAAGTTAGTATGAAAAAGTTAACCATGACCTGAATATTGTGAATGATTTAGAAGAAGAACATGGCAAAAAGGTTGTTAAGCCCATCTTAGGGAAGTATACATTTCTCAGAACTGCAAACATCAGCATCACAGTCAGCATATTGTTTCCTAACTTAGATGGGAAAACGTTAAAAGTGACCCCAAAATAACTTTTTCCCATTCACGACTCACGTAATGTAATTGATTTCAGTTTTATCTCCCTGAACCTTTTCAATAGAAATCCAACTACATTCAGATAAAGAATCCAACCACCACTGCACCTAGTTCTTTTCTTCAATAACCAATTCTAAGTCCTCCATATGAGCATCATATGTTTAAATGTAATGAAGTGCAGAATCAAAACTAAGAAATAATGCGCAATCTAATTGTTCTGCCCTCTAACTACAAGATCTTATTTTTTCTTTTTCTTCCAAAACTCTTATACCTTCTCCCATTAAAGTTTTCATGCTTCCTACATCCTAATTGAGAAAGTATCCTGATCTTAAAAAAACCATAGAAACCTTGGATTTGTATCCTACTTATCACCAAAACACTTAACTATATATAACATAGTAGTTCAGAAGCTGAAGCCTTTGACAGAATGTAATCCTGCCTCCCTAAGAGGTAAGACGTTTTACTTCCACATTTTATGATATTCCTGTGCCTCTACACCACATATGCTTTAACATACACTTCATGGGTCATTAACTCATTATTCTGATGGTTAATGCCTTAAATTAGGTGAGACAGCCACACTTGCGGGTTGGATCATGGCCACTCTGACCACAAATATTCAAAACCAGTTTGACTATCACTTTTCTGCTTGACTCAGCCTGCAATAGCTGTTTTATTCAGCCATCACCCCCAAAATCTGCTAAAGTTTATAGCTTCTCTCTATGTTCGCAACTCAAGGTGCTAGAATAGATTACAAAAACACTGAGTAACAATATTTTTAAAAAATCAAATCTATCCTAAGAAATACTAGGAAAGATCAAGCAAGATGAAATTAAATGGTTGACACAGAGAGAGAGGGAATGTACCCAACACTTTCAAGCGAAATCGCTTGTATATTGGACTAGTGTGATCAACCTTGTGACCCATTTCTTCAAACATTTTCAACTGCAATGTGGACAAATTGGAAACTCTTGAAAAACTAGAACCATAAAGTCATAATGAAATGCCTCAAAAAATAAATCCTTAATTTTTACAGTGTTCCTTTGCATTACCTGCTCTAAAAACCCATCATTAGGGCAAACAAACTCACAGCTTTGCCTTAGAGATTCAAGTGCATCTGCAAGAACGGATATGCAAAAGGGGAGAAAGAACCAAGAGGATAATGTATAAGTTCCATAAAAATATACAATGACACATTTCTATCTCACCAGTCAAAAGAACAAATGCATCCTAAAGTAATAAAAGCAGCTAGCATGTACCAAATTTGGACCAACATTTCTCCCAAATAAACAGAAGATTTGTTCAAACCTTCTTGAGATAGTTGCTCAGTTCTCATCAAATATGCTGTAATTATAGCCGCACTGCACGAACACATGCAAAGAAGGTGTAAATCCTTAGGGCTTGACAATTTAGGAAATTGGAAAACATATTACAATGTAGGCAAGTTCTAGAAATTTTCTGAAGCATAGTCAAGGTGACATTTTAAAGGAAAATTTTCTTCTACAAAGAAAAAAAAATTGACAGTGCTATATAAGATACACTTTTTCCCATCAAAAGTAGCCCTAATGCAACTTCTGGGACCATTTGAACTAAATAATGATGCAATAGCACGGTTCACCCAACTTGCTTGATGTGAAGGAGTTGAAGGCAAATCATAGCATTGATCGATATTAATGTTAAAAGTTAAAATTTTAATAGCTACAGCTATTGATGAGTATAAAAAAGATTTAAACTTCACAAAGGATTAAGAAAAACAAAATCTAACCCCAAATACAAATCTACAAAACTTGTACACCTTTGTCACAGAATCCAGAAACATGAACCGAATAAAAAAATTTGGTGGTCATTTCCTCTCTTCTTGTCAATGATCAGACCAGAAAGTTTATTCATCAAAGGTCTCTGCAATCATCTGTTTTCAAACTAGTATACCAAATGAATTAGCCTATTTTCAACTAGCATCAGAAGATGAAATTAAAGGATGGATCATACCTTCTTGACACTCCAGCAAAGCAATGCACCAAAACAGATCCCTCTTTTCTGCTTTGATCAATGAAATCAAAACATGCATCTAGGTAATCCAACAAATTCTCACTCTCCATATCTCTAATAGGCACTGCCATTCTCACCAGCTTTAAATCCTTCCCTGCATATTCCAACAAGTACAACAGCTTCTGGGGTGACAAAGAACTCTTAGAACCATCATCTGAATGATCCCCAGAAGCTGCAGCACCACCAGATCCACCTACAAAAACCTTTTTAATTTCCTTGGTTGGGATTGTGAGACCACTACGCCATTCAGAAAAAAACGATATCGATGCGGAGCTCAAAACTGATAGAATATGTGTGATCTCTGTGCTACCATTTTGCAGAACTTCAGCAGCATCCCCTATGTTTCCAATAAATAGATTCTCACGGACAAGGTGCATGACAATACACAAACACAAATTTGATGGCTTGTATTAAAATCTAAGCCTTTTTTTTTTTGTGTGTGCGTGTTTCTCTGCCCTGCAAAAGTCAGGAGTCTCAGGAACTGAGCTAAATGGATTACTTCAAGATATATTTGAATGCTAAGACGATAATGTAAAAGAAATCAATTCTGAAATACTAAAACAGAAAATCACGTATTGAATTGTTACAACTAAAATCTTATGAAAAATGTTTGAACGCATAACGTAAAATATATTTTATTGAAAATATTCTATTAAGAATAATCTTCAAAATGAGAAACCAGAACTTATTATTTCTCAAACAAAACCTAAATATTCCATTTTTAACATTCAAAACAATTGAAAATTTAAATATTACAACTCTTTACTCAACTCAGCTGACTAACGCAGGTTCTTTTGCACATCCACACAATTTTCCTTTACTTTCTCGGTAGAAAACAGGAATTGAACCAATTGTCCACTAAAAAATTTTCAATTTCTTTTTTAAAAAAATGAAAAAAAAATTCGAATATCGTCAAAACTTGTAATTCCAAAGTCACTTTAAAAACGAATACCTTTCTTTTCCGTTTATTTTTTACAAAAATTAGGAAAAGGAATCTAACCTGAAGATAAAGAATACTCCGGCGAGAGTCTGTTTAGCTTTTTGCCCTTTCTTGTTATATTCCGTTTGAATTGAAGCAATGTCATAGAGTGCTAATAAATAATTAAATATGTGACACGTTCGGATAACTTCTCCGCACGTGCGAGATTTATAGACGGCCCGGGACTCTTGATAGAGGTTGCGTAGGAAAATTGGGCTATGCTCTTTGCTAAGAGTAGGATGGGCAATCGATTGTTCGGTTTTGAAAAATAAAAAATTAAATTAATTTATTTTAAAAGAAAAAGCCGAAATCAGTCTATCTATTTTTAATAATAAAAAATAATGGAACTGACAGGTCGATCAATTCGATCGAAATATTGAATTTTTTCATCATATTTTTTCATTAATTTTTAACAATAATTTTGAAATAATTTTCACTCCGTAAAACTCAACTTATAATTCTATCATCAATGATATATTTGTCATTTCAAAAAATCAAATTTAACAATATAAAATATAATATAATAATATAATATAAATATAATTAAAAAATAATATAGTTTAAAATTTTAATAATAAATATATATATGGATTTAATAAAATTAAAAAAATAAATTTTATATTTTTATGTAAATATAAATTATGATACGTAATTTTTATATAAAATATAATATAAATATATATTTTTTAATATTTTATATTACAAAAATATATAAACATCATTTTTTAATTATTATTATTATTATTATTATTTAAATTTTTTCTTCTTTATCCGTTTTTTATTTTTTTTCTATTTTTTCTTTCTTCTTTCTTTCCTTCTGTCTTTTTCCTTATTCAATTCAAATTGACTAAGCATGAGTGCATTAAATGCACTATCTCTAAAATCCAAAATCACTACTAGCAGTCATCGATACTAGCCAATGCGTGAATATCAGCTTATCACGTCAGTTAAAAAAATGAAACTCGAATCCCTGAAGATCTGGGATTTGAATCCCAGCAAGCTCTATTATAGAGCTTGTAATCTACGAAAAATAGAGAGAGAAATAGAAAAAAAAAAAAGGCAACAAAAAAAATTAAAAAAAAAAAGCTTTCCATAAAAAAAAAAAAACAAAACCATTTTGCAGAAACAAAAAAAAGGCAGAAATAGTCCTTTGGAACGGGGAACCCAGAGCCAGAAGCTACCTACAAAAAAAAATCAATTTTAGTTAAAAAAAATTTGAAAGTTTGAGCCTCAATCTACTCTTATCGAGGCTGTTTCTGACGAAAATAATGTTGGATTTGGAACAAGAACGAAAAAAGGAAGCTTTTGGGAGATTGTGAAATTTTTCGACCACCGACGATAGCGGCCGGTGACCGGTGACCTGTGGTAGCGACTGCGGAGGAGCGACCGACCGACGATTTTTTTTTTCTGGTTGAGTAATAAAAAATAAAAAAGAAGTTTTTTTTTTGCTGAAGGAAAAGAATGAATGAATTTTTTTTTTTTTTTACTTTTATATAAAAGACTAAACCCAAAACGATGTCGTATCAATAATACCCAAAACGACGTCGTTTTGAGACTTAAAGATCCACCCGTCGACCCATAACCCGATTCGGGATCCGTGCAATCAACTCGACGACCTGTTCTCCCTTTGACCTTGACTGATTCATTTAAACCGACCAATATCGGATCGAACCGTCCCTGAACCGTCAGACCGAATAGAGCCGTCGATCCGACCAGACTCGTGTTGATCGGATCGTTGACCGGTCCGGTTTAGGTAAAAAAAAATTTTCTTTTAAAATTTTTTTTATATATTATTTTTATAATATTTAAGCATACTAAAATATTTAAATTTGTTAGAATAATTTTTTATACAGTTAAAATTTCTAAAATTTTGTTAATTTTAAAATAAATTTAAAATATAATAAAATGAAAAATAATGAAACTTTATAATAATAATATTGATAAAAAAAATAAGAAAAAAAAATTTATCCAATGATGAAATTTAAAGGTATTTCGGTAGAAATGCTTATGAAATCTCTATGTGAGAATAATTTTTTTAAATACTACCAGTGTATTGTAGAATTTATAAAAAATTTTCAATACAATAAAAAAAAAATTTTTGTTAACAATAAATAAAAATTAATTAATATATTAAAAAAATAATAATATAAATAAGAAAAAAGAAAATTTTATCCAATGATGGGATTCCAAAAGTATTCCGAGTAAAAATGTTTTAAGAAATATCTAGGTGAGAAGATTTTTTTTAAATATTTTCAGTATATTAGAATATTTATAGAAAAACTTTAATATAATAAAAAAAATTTTCTTTAAAATTAAAAATAAAATAATTAATAAAACAATTAATAAATTTTTTGAAAAAGAATAAAATGTGTGCATCAACATGTTATTATTTGTATTGCATACATAACATAATTTTTTATTAAAGTAAATTCGGACCTCCAAAGATGAGATTTTAAGGTATTTCGAGAATTGATGTCTAATAAATCTTTAAGTGAAAAATAGTTCTTCTAATATTATCAACGTACTAAAATATTTTAAGAATTATTTCAATAAAAATGTTCTAATTTATTTTTCTCGAATAATATTTGAATATAAAAAAATAATAAATAAAAAAAATAAAAAATCAAGAAAATTAATTTTCAAATACCGAAAATAAGATTGTTTTTATCAAAATCGAAAGATAACATGTAGTTAATTGGTACCGTCTTAGACGGACGCTGTGGGGTGCTAATCCTTCCCCACATGTAACCGACTCTTGAACTTCGACTGTTGTGCAGACCCTAAAATTATCTTTTTAATAAATTTTAAGATTTCATTAAAATGATATGTTTTAATATGTGACTAATCGCATTTGGTCAAAAAAAGATTGATCACGACTTCGTTATTTTTTTTATTGTCGTTTTCAAATTCGTCGGACGGACATAAAACTGTTACAACAAAATATATTAATAATCAAATCTATGAAAAATATATAAAAATATTTTTATACATCTTTATAATATATATTTAATATATTTAAAATTAGTTTAAAATATCAATTAATTTATTAAATTCAATCCCTCCATTCAAATTAATTGTTTTAGTGTTATTGAATTTCACGAAATTTAAAAAAAAATATTTTGACTTTAATGCATTAATATTAATTTTTTTTTTTTTATAAATCAAAGTTTCATGATTTTTAATATCAAAAAGTAAAAAAAAATATAAAATATAATTCTAAAATATAAAAGTAATAGTTTAATATAAACTTAACGATTTATGTATTCATATTATGTAAAATATTAAAATTTACGTATTTATATCATATTTATATAAAAATTATATATAATAATTTGTATTGATAAAAACATATAAAATACACTTTTTTTTGTTTTGTCAAACCTAATAGTCATTACTAAAATTTTAAACCGTATTATTTTAGTATTGTGTTTATATCATATCATCATGATGTATTTTATATTGATAAAGATATAATTTTGGAACATCTTAAAAAGTAAAAAAATAAAATGAGATGGAGGAAATATTAATTTTAAAAATAAAAATTAATAAATTAATAGATTAAATCATTTTATTTAATTAATCATTATCAAAGTTGAATAAACTAAATTGACTTAGGATCTATTTAAATAGACAATGAGATTAGCTCTAGTGAGATTAAAAATAATAATAAAATTACTATAGTTTTGATTAAAAAAATTATTATAATTATGATTAAAAAAATAAAATTTCATAAAAAAATTTATTTAAATGAATTTCTTTAAAATTAACATTTAAATTTAATTAATAGTACGATAAATTTAATTACATTGCACTGAAAATAAAAGAAATTCCATGTCTTCACTTATCCAAATTCAATTAATTTGAATCTATCAATTCAATTGATACCAACTTACACTCGATCCTAAATAAGAGCTTTGGATTAAAAGTGGGGCCGGCAGCCAGCAACATTTCATTACTCTTTCATTGGATCTAGACTTGGCAAAGTTGCGTGTTTTAAAATTTTTATTCAATAATAATTTAAATTATTATTTTTATTTTACTAGTTTTTATTAATATTAAGATTATTTAAGATATTTTTTACTTATTTTTTTAAGAAATACAAAACATATTGAGTTACAATCATTGATGACTTGCAATATTATTAAATTGGGTAATATTACAGTTCTTAAAATTTTTTATGCTTATATTAAATTAGATTTTAGACAAGTTAAAAGATTATGATTTCTTCCCCCCTCGAAAGGTTAAAATATAAAGTTTTTATATTGATCTTTTATAGTATTTTTTAATTAAGGTTTTATTGATAAACTAAAAAATTAAGTGTTGAAAAATTAAATATTAAAATTTTAATACTGAATTAAATAAGTATTGAATTTGAATTATAAAAACTGTTTGATATTTTATTGAAAATTAAATATTTTCGGTGAAATAATTATTTTACATTTTTATCTTTATTTTTATTGCGGATAATGAAATAATATTTTTAAGGGATAATGGTTCAAAAAATTTTAAAGAAAAATTTACGGAATGTTTTCTTCATTTAGTGATAAGTTGGATGAATCTACTTATCTTATTCAACACTTTTTGATTGAAATTTTCTATTAAATTCATTTTAAAATGCATCATCAAACGCATTAAAAATTAAATTGTTAAAAATTTTCATTTTCAATGCATAGAAAATTCTATGCGTTATCAAATAAAACCTTAAGTTAAAAAAAAAATTCTGTTAATAGGAAAATGATTAAGAATTTTTACTATAATAATTATATTTTGATTTTTGGATCTTCAATTGAACTACTTGTAAAATTAATTTGTTCTCTTGTAATTTAATTTAACCTATTTTATTTAGGTAATCAACAATAAAAATGCCTCTCCAAAAGTAAATCTTAATCACGTAATCACAAATTGGCTTCACAATTTTAATTGAATTTATTCTAATCTGCTCTTTACAAGTATTTTTCTTGACAATTTAAATTAGTACTTATTATTGCAGCAATTTTATATATCTTGCTATTCAAAAGTTAGAAATTCTTAACTTAAACTTTTGCATAATTAATCATGAAACATAATTTTTTATAAAATATTCTACTACATTTATAATTATAAAATGCGATAAAAATTTCTGGTGCTCAACTTTAAATAATGAAATTTTAAAAAAAAAAAATTTGTACTTATTGTGTTAGCTTACTTGAGAATATTATATATGAGTTTAGTATTTAAAATTAGTATTTAAACTTGAAATGATCTGAAATCAAAATGACCTAACTACAAATTGACCTAATTTTTATATAATTCGAAATAACCCGAATTGAATTGGTATGGTCCAAACCTGACCTGATTCGCCCAATAATTGACAGGTCAGTTTCCTTCCATCTTTCGTATTAAAATTAGAATTAAGGTTGGCTTATGTATTTTCTGTGCTTATATTGTTTGGGATATTGCTGAAATTCGGTATTGTTTTTAATACATAAAAGACTAAGACCCAAGGGAGATCGAAAAGCGGAATTTGCAAGAGTTGGAGATGGAACCTCAACGTTATTAGAATACACTTCTTAAGGAAGTTCGATAAACCATTGGACTAAGCCTGTAGATGTTACAGTTTACTTGCCATAAATATGCTTTTCTTTCACCGAGCTTTTAACGGAAACAACAAAAGGTGAAAGTTAATGGTAGCTGGCACATGTGTATTACGTTGTTGATAGAATGTGTACCTTCATCAAGAAAAAAGTGATGGGAATAACAAATTACAGGCAGCAACTTGGTATCTTTAATTAGTAAAGCAAACAGAGCAATCTGAAAGAGGGGGAAAAGAGCAAAGTGAAAAGAATATGTTGAGTTCTAAACTTCATAATTTAGCAAAGGGAAAAGAAGCTTCACCTTCCATTTTATATCAGCATTCAAGTGATGAGATATATATATAGCCAAGGCCTCTGCTTTATCAAGACAAATGTGCCTAGAAAAGCTGAAAATGTTAAGGGAAGAGCCATCACCGGAAACCCGACTTCAAATATGCGATGGTAATGAGGAGGAATTGCATTTCATGAGCATCCGTGAGAAAGAGAATTTCCGTTATTTCAGAGCTCTGAAGAAATCCTCAAACGACGACAGTGTTCCAGCTCAATCTTCCAAATCCAAGCCATTAATACAAAGGGTTCCATTCACCCTAAGTGAAAAGAAGAATTTTAAGAAATATTTTGAGCCAAGGGTGGTTGCAATCGGCCCTCTCCACCATGGTAACCGCAGGCTCCAGCCAGCGGAGAAAGCTAAGCTTAAACTTTCAGTGCTCTTCACAGAAGAACATCGAGTTGCAGAACATGTGTTATATAAAAAGATTAAGCAGGATATAGGATATCTGAAGGAGTGTTATAAGCCAGAGGATATAGAAGATTATGACGATGAGGAACTCGCTTGGATGTTTTTTGTGGACGGTTGTGCAGTATTGAAAGCCATACACTACAGTACTAAGTCTGAGCAAGAAAAGCAGAAGGATGAGTTGAATATTAAAGTTGATATTCTGGCATTTGCCCAAGTAGATTTGTTCATGCTGGAGAACCAACTTCCTTTCCGAGTCCTCGAGTTATTGATAAACTCAGTCCATGATGCAAAGGATTTGAGAGAATCAATCGACGTGTTCATTGATAATAAGATCAAGAGAACAATAGCAGAAGGGAAGAAAGGAAAGCCACGACAAGATCAAGATCACACTCATCTTCTGGGGCTTTTGCGGGAAAGACTCTTGGCCAAAACCAACAACAAGAACGAAAGTACCAAGACCATCATTGGTAAGCTACTTCTTTCTTGTGGACCAAAACAACAACAATGCCATAAAACATTTCGTAGCATCAATGAGCTGAAAGAAGCAGGGATTCGTGTGACTCCTAGCGAGACAAGCAGCCTCCGAGACGTTAATTTCTACGTTGGATTTCTAGGAACTCTGAAGATTCCTCGGATCGTGGTGGACGACTCAACCGGTTCCAAGTTCATGAACTTGGTAGCTTACGAAATGTGTCCAGATTTCAAAAATGACTTTGCGGTCACCTCTTACTTATGCTTCCTTGATACTCTCATCGACACCGCACAAGATGTAAAGGAGTTGAGACATGCAGGAATGCTACTGAATTACCTGGGCAGTGATCAAGAAGTAGCTGATCTTTTCAATAATATAACCACAGATTTGGTGCCTGATCTCGAGATGTACCATGATGCAACAGATAAGATACGTGAGTACTGCGACAATCCATGGACGACCTGCATAGCCAAGGCGTATTATACTCATTTCAGCACTCCATGGAGTTTCCTTGGCTTCTTGGGAGTCTTAATGGGTCTTCTTTTTACTGCTATTCAAGCATATTACTCAATGCGAAAAGCGACTATGGGACAAAGGTAAAACAATGTCCATCTTTCTTTTTCCACAAGTGTGCTTTTTAACTTGTTTAATTTTTCCTGTTATATATGTAAAAGTAAGATATGATTTGAGTGTAATCATGGGTGCTTGTGTTACTTATTTAATTTTTCCTGTTATATATGTAAAAATAAGATATGATTTAAGTAAAAAGATGGGTGCTTGTGTTTGATTTGTGTAATTTTCATCTTTCTAATACTAAGAATTTTTTCCTTTTTTTTTCAGTTTTCTTGCTCAACACACAACCACTTGTAAAGTTTTGTAATTTTCATCTTTTAATACTGAAATCATTTGTTTGGCAGAGGAAGAAAATTTTGAAAGAGAATAAATAGATGGCAGTATCTTTAATTTTCATCGGCTTCCCTTTTGGAGATTATAATATATCACTCCTGTTTTCTAACTAAGTATTCATTCTTTCATTAACTTAAACCATTTCAAGTGTTATATAGTTTACTTTATAATGCATCTATAATTTATAATATCTATATTTTTAATCTAATATATATAATTATTATTTTATATATAGTCGATGAAGTTTTCAAACTTTGCATACAAAGTTCGAATATATATATATATATATACACACATATTTATTTATATATAAGAAGTGATTAATTTATATAATGTAAAATTTTTTTAGTTTGATATATTTTTCTAACCTTTGATTTTAATAGATCTAAGAGATGAGAAAAAAAAAAATGATTTAATCTCATCCCTTAAATCTATTAAAATTAATAGTTAAAAAATATGTAAAACTAAAAAAATTTTATACTATATAATTTGATCTATCCTTTATATATATATATATATATATATATATATACATATATATATACATGTACACATATAATGTTAAAATATTTAATGTTTTCATTTAATTTATGCATATAATATTAATAAATTATTTTCTTAATTTTGTATATAATCTTTTTATTATATATTTTTTAGTTTTCACCAAATTAGTTCAAAGTACAAGATTAATGAAATTTATAACTATTTAAATATGAGTAGCAAAGCTGATTTATCATTTTAAGTAGAATGATAAATTTGGATCATATTTAGTTTTATTTATTGATTACCAATTTGCTGGTTTTTTTTTTGGCCAATCATACTACACACTTTCACTTTTGAGTAATTTTTGTCTTAAACTCTTCTTTTGTCACTTAGGATTTGTTTGGATAGTTTGAAACTTTCATAATAAGAAGTGTTCAAGTAGAATGGCTTTTAAAAACATTGTAACAAAAGATTAGAGTTTGACAAATTTATAGAATATTAAAAACTTTTTTAGAATATTATTTTTATATTTTTAATAGATAAAATTAAAATGGTGCTTCTTTTTTCTTTATTATTTGTCTTATTTATAAATGGAATCTTATGTGGTTTTTGCCTTCATTATTATTCTAATATTTGGTGTGTGATATACTTAAAGTGGTAGCTAAAGGCTTAAAGCATGTAATGTCTCCCCCAACAAATGGATAAAATATTAGAAGTAGAGTTACAAAAAAATATTCCTAAGTCTTGATGTTATAAATTTGTACTTATTGTGTTAGCTTACTTGAGAATATTATATATGAGTTTGGTATTTAAAATTAGGAAAGTTTGAATCAAATCTTGCACCCCTCAAATGGAAAACCCTAATTTCAGGCATATTGAAATTTGGTGACCGAAATTGGAAAAGAATGAAAAGTTGATGACCAATCATGAAATTTTCTCCAAAAAAAAAAAAATGGCAGAATTACTTGAAGTGCATAGATAGAAAAGACTGGCTGTAAAATACATCTTTGAGAACACATACAACGATGTATCTTACAAGACAACACAATTTACATTTGCCAATTACTCCCTCCTTTTCCCAAGACTCTTGATTCCCTGCAATGTAGTTATAAGATCCTAAAATGTATTCAAGAAAATGATAGAATTGTTACCTGAGAAGATGATCATATTTGCAAAATATTGCACTACATGTGTAAGGCAATAGGCCGGATTGCAGAATTAGTTTGAGGTATAGGAGAAAAGTTAGCTTCCCTTTCATCCAAAGTATATACAGGAATTTGCCTCATCTTAGTGTTCTTCTTTGGATCATCGATGAGGTTGAGATCCGTATCGTCTTCCTTGAATGTTTGATGAATGCTTGGCTCCCATCAAAATAAGCCTCTCAAGCATGAATAATTGGTAATTGTTCTCAATTAAGGGATCCAAGATGTGAATATAATTTGATGAAAAAGCCAATTTGTACCTGAAAACATAAGCAACCAGCAAAATCACGGTAAGCTCGAATGTTTACGCTTAATTTCTCAACTGGTCGTCTTTTTTCTGTTGCTTACACAGTACAATTTAATTGACTCATATTACAGCATTTTCAAAATTGAATTAATACCATGTATCATCCCTTTTGGTAAGCATCTTATCTATTTTTTATAGGTCATCAAAATTCTACTTTCTCAATAATACCATGATTACAAACAAGTGTTCATGACTTGGTCAAACATATGCATGCCAAAGATTAGCATCTTATACTGCTTTGCCACAGAATTTAAACTGTTCTTTTCCATCACTATCATCACATTTTCTAATTACGTTTGGAAAATTTTTTTTAAACAAATTACCATTTAAAAAATAGATGAGAGATAGATTTATACCATTTAAAGTATTTAAATATTTACAGTAGTTAATCTCAATAATGTTGAAATATAAAACTAATTTATTAAAAAATAATTCTCTTGTCATCATGATTGGATTATAAAAAATAGTTAAACCTTGCATTATAGAAAAACCAAAAAAGCTGCTAATTCAAAATATTAGTCGATACAAAAAATAATTTTGATATTTAAAAAAGTTAAATGGAACCGTAAAGTTTACCTAAACTCTAATAAGTTAGATTTTCACTAACAATTAAACACACACGAGAAAAAATTATTAGTCTAAAACACTATCGGTTGTAAAAAGTGTCATGAACGTTAAATATTATCTCCTTTAACCTTTAAATATGATAATACCTTCGAAATATTTTCATATACCCAAATTAACTCCAAAATTTCTTAGGAATGATAACGGAACAAGTCAAGGTAATTTCTTGCTCATATCGACTCCAACCCCACTTTTAGAATATTTCATCTAACTCCAATCTACCAAATATCATATTATTATTTTTTATATTCAACTTTAACTTGACATATATATATATATGTATAATTCATCCCCAACATGCATCCAATCCAAAATTAATTTAATGATTTTAATTTAGTATAATATTCGTAAAAATGTTATTTTAATATAAATTATGTCTTAATTATATAAATATAATTTTTTTATTAAATTAACATCTTAAATTAAGGTATTAAATAATATTTTTATTTATATATGTATATTAATATAAAATTAGATAAATAATATGTATTTTTATATATATCTCGAGACGGGTTGAGGCAGAATACTTTAAAATCTACCTTCAACTCAATTCCAAATTTTCTAAGAAATAATTGTCCCAGCTTTGATTCGATCCTTGACTTAAAAAAAAAAAAAAAAAAACCCTTATAGGATTGAAACGTCCACTAGGTATGGGTTATTTTACCATTCTTAAAATTTCTTTAAAATTAGTTTAAAAAATAAATTTGACCATGTCAAATATTAGTCAAAATCTTAAATACCTTAATAAATGTAACTTAAATGTCTACATAGACCTTAAATATATATATAAAAAAATGTTACAATTAACCTTAAAAATTGAATTATAAAATCATACTCCACCCTAAATATAATACTATACCCTAATTGACCTTCAAATTATTTTTTATAACAAATATTAGTTATCTATAAAAATTAGCCCCAATTCAATTAGGGATAGTTTTAATATATTGTATAGATACCTCCATCTCCAAAGGTTCAGAATTAGAACTTCGAACTTTAAAGTCTTGGATTGAATCTTGCATTAGGAAAGAAATGAGATTTATGAGATGAAACGTACTAACTTTCCTCATTCAAAAACCATAACACCATAACTGCCTCTAAGACAAAAAAAAAGTATGTCTGTTCTATGAGTCTTGAATTAGTTTCATGCCACGAGTTAACTGACATTAATTCATTTGAGAAATTATTCAAAAGTTAAATTAAGATTAAAAAAAATGGTATGTATATTTTTAAGGATATGTAACTCTTTTACTTTTCCTTAAATGTTTTTAAATTTTTAGATCTAAGAATTTTTTGGGATTTTTCATAAAAAAAGTTTTTTTTCTTTTTATTATTAGTTGCACATTGATTGATTTTATTATAGGTGACTTGTGTTAGTTAAATTTTTAGAAAATTGCTCTTCGAAATTTAAATAAAGTCATGATCATTTTTTTGGTTTTTTTTTTCTCATTTTTTATGAAAAAAATTCTAGAATTTTAAAGAACTAAATGTGAAAGTTATATAATTAAAAAATTCCAAATCTACTTTTTTTTTTTGTTTTTTGATAGACATTTTTTGAGTCTTTGAATTCTAAAAAGAATTTCTAGATATGTGTATTTGTTTATTTTATTTATTTTCTTCTTGTTATTTTTGGATAATTTTTTTATTTTTTATCTTTATTTTTATTTGCATTTTAATTTAAAAATAAAATTTTAAAAATTACCGCATGTCAACGGCAAAGTTGTCACATGGCAACCAAGGATTGATGTTAATAATAAATTATTTATTATTTTGGTATCATTCTCACATGGTGGGTGTGCATATAAATTAGTTTATTCTCTTTCTATGTTCCATGGAAAGTTGGACTGGTTGAGTCTTTTAGTTTCATTTTCGGCATCACTAAACCAACTAGGTTTTGAAGATAGAAAATTTCATGCCTAGATGTTATATATTTACCACATAAGCCATTGCACAACCATCCCTATAAGTAGAGGTTGAAATTTGGTGGGGTTCAGATAGATCAGAGGTTCATTTAGATTCGAATTTACGTTGATTTGAATAGTGTAAGTTCAGATAATTTTGACTTAGGATTGTTTTGAGTTCCAATCTTATCGATTAGGGCTATTTTAAATTCAATCTAGCTAAATTTGATTTATTTTAGTTAGATCAATTCTATATTAATTACAATCGGATTTTTTCAAGTTTTGCGAGTTTTGAATTACTAACATTGTGGTTTGAGTTATTCTACTTCATGTCATTTTTAATTTAAATTATTTTGAATTTAATTTGTTTTAGATTTGATCTTCAGATAATTATAACGATTTTTTAATATGTTTAAATTTTTTATCTTTACGAGGAAAAGCAAAGATGTTCATACATCAAGTCAGTTAAGGTCAATTGATGCTAGAGACATTAATCTTATCCAAATTCGATGGGGAATTTGATTGTTTACCCTATTGGGGATGAGAATATGTATTAAATTTTGGGATGATTATAAAAATAGATATAATTTTAAATTTTTTATCGAATATATGTACATGGATAGATAGCACCTACCTCACTTATATTTTTATATTTTTATATATTTAATAAATTTATTTTTATTTAAAAATATAAAATTTATTTTGGATTAATTAGAACTAATATATTTGTATTTAAAAAATATATATTTAAAAATTACACAAATGTACAAGATATAAATAAAAGAGCTAAAAAAATATTTTTTAGTTTTATTTTTTTAAAAAAATTATGAGTATAAAAATTATCATACCTATTAAATACCTACGAAAATAGAATTGGATGAATTTGAAATATTCATTAGGTACGATAACATGGAAATGTATAATATATAAAATAAAAAATATTTTATCCGATTTATATCCTATTCATCTACATACTTAAATTGATATCTTTTAAAACTTAGGTTGGATATGGCTTGACTCATCATTCAAAATATATTTGATAGTATTTAAATTTTTTAATATATTAATATTTTAAAATAATAATTAAATAAAAATGATTATTTATACTATTTAAGTATATAGTCATGTTGAGGGTTCAACTCCATTTCGACTAAGCTCGCAAGCCTAAAAGGCTACTTAGCTTATTGATATCTCCACTTAATACCTTTGTATCATTTGGCTCTTATTAAATTTATCAAAATAATAAATTTTTTTTATAATGTGATCAAAGATAACTTTAAATTTTGTCAAAATTAATCTCTTCCTTAAGCGATTTTAAAAATGCATTTTCACATTACATGATACATATAAGATTTTACTTTTAATTGAAAAAAAAAAAAAGAGTTGTTCTCTTTACAAAGTAGACTAAACTTTATATATAATAATAATTTTTCATATATATATATAATAATAATTTTTCATATATATATAATAATGGTAAAGTGCATTGAAAGGCAACACCATTTTATTTAGATTTTAACTTTTTTATTAAAATATGTTATTTCAATTAAATAACATAAGTCATAACCCATAATTTCCATTATAAAAATTAAATTAATCATAATTTTTAAAGGTATTTTATTAGCAAATTTAAAATTTGATCGGTTTAACAAAACCTAATCGGTTCACCAATTTATTAATTGAACCACTGGATAAATATAGTTGAATCCGATTAATTACAAATCTGATCTAAATAAAAGAACTGAACTGGTTTGAGTACCGGGTCACCGGTTAAACTGATCCAACACAGTCCGATCCAATTCTTATAACTATGGTTTTCTGTACGCTTGATACAACAATAAAGGCAGAAGGGTGAACAGAAGAGCATTGGTTAACGGAGTGAGTGAAACAAGCAGCAAAGCATCAACTGATGTAAATATAAAGACTCAAAGACTGCTACTAAATGTCGTAACCAATTAGGAATAAAACAAGATCTTGGTAAGCAAGTGATGAACCCAGAAACCATAAAAATATAGCTTAAAACTCTCTACTAACAGCCTTACACAAGATGTAGATACATTTTGCGACCCACCCTCACCTGTACAATCCTCTAGGTTTCAAGGACGCCAATCATTTGATATTAAAATGGACAAAAAAAGGCAACGGGGTAGGTGTAGAGTACCTGACAAAAAGAAGAAAAGGAAGAAATCCCAGACATCCAACAAAAATAAAGACACGAGAAGATGCTGGGAATTGCTTCATCAGCAGCACATGCCAGATTGGCTTACGGTGTCCACTTGCTGCTCCTTTTTTTCTTGACCATGGACACTAGCTTTGTTCAGGCTGGGCTAGCTAGCTCCAAATTTAGGCACGCATTTGTTTCCTTAAGACAGTTAAGCTCAAGTGAGAAGGATAGATTAAAAAGTGTTTAGGGTTGGGTCCTACATTAAGATTTCCGAAATGTCCGAGGAGAAACCCCATGTAGAAGTCTAATAAATCCCAAGAAACTAAGCTTCCCATCTGAGTGTCTTATCCAGTCTTGAAGAACGACATGAACAGGTACTGATGGGCTAAGTCCAAGTTCCTGGAGTAACCAAAAACATAAATACAAGCATTTAGCACTATGATCTAGGCAGCAGCACTATATTAAGTTTTACAAAGCCTCGATCATTCCCTCAGAAATTTGTAAAAATAAAAATCATTAGATTCTGGCAAAATTACCGAGCTAAATAGCACTTATCAGTGAAATATATTCTTAGTAATCAAAAGATAAGACAAATGGAAGAATCTGAACTGCTCTATATGTCTATGATATTGATATTTTACTGCAAAATTTTTTCTCAAACACCGGAGCCAAGTTTGGCAATCAACCATTTCTCTTATATATTCTCCTAAACCATAAAACTTATGTACCCCTATGTTTCCCAGTTCTGAAGCCATGTTATAGGAAATTGCCTTCAAATTTACAAACACCTAGGAAAACTAAGAGAGAGAGATGGAAGACTTACCGGGGCAAGTTCCTCTATCATAATGGGCCTGTTGCCATCCTTCTCAAACAAATCATAAGCACACCTTGCATGTTGCTCCCAAGTTTCCATTCCTTCTAGCTGATGCACACTTATGGCAGCGGCACAAAATTCTTCAAAGTCCAATTTTCTATACTGAATAGAACTAATCTATACAATACAAGAGTAAAAGAAGCCACTAGTACTATCATTTTAAACATATTGGAAGCATATTTTATCAATCTGTCTAAAGGTAAATAAATGAACCAGGAAGCTTTACCATGTTGACATAATCAAGGACTCGCGAATCTTTCATGGCATCAGTAGAATTCTTCATCATCACCTGCAGATTCCAAGCTATTTGGAATGACTTAAAATGGATGAAAATTAAAGAAAATGATTACAGAAAGAAGCAGACCATCTTATAATTCTGCATGGAAATGAATCCATTTTTGTTAGGCCCTAACAATGTGAATTGTTCCCGTAGATAAGCGAGCTGTGGAGCATTTAATGTCTTTGCAAGAGCCTGCCATAATAGGGAAACTTGAGCCAACATATTCATAGTTGCAAAGATTGACCTTTAGATCTTTATATCAAGGATATAGGCGAATCTTAAGAAGTTTAGATAATTTAACAGAAATATAATTGCATCATTTATGGTTCAAAAAGTCAACAATACTGCATCTCTGCAGAGTGTTGGGAAGAAGCAATAGAAGCAATGAAATGCTTGTAGGTGTTTCATTGGATCTTAGGAAACCCAACTGCAAATGAGATGGGCTTGCACTAGGTTTTACCAAAAAAGAAATTTTACTTGTAGCAATAACAGATTAAACCATGACATGTTTACCATTACACTTTTATGATCTTTACACAATCCAATGTAATGCCTATGTTAATAGTAGAATAAGTCATTGATCCTTCCTGTCTTCTTAATCATTTCCTCATTTACTTTCAAAAGTATACACAACAGCAAAAAGCATGTCTCTTAGTCATGCCATACTTCTGTACAATGCCAAGTATGGCAAAATCAAGTCACAGTGTTTAATCATTAAGTTTGCATGGCATCACTTAGAACATATCCAAAAAAAAAAAGTTGTTCAAAGTTGTAAACTAAAATAGGCATGTAGTAATATCAAAGGTTTCATATTTAGAAAAGCATGGTTTGCTATAATGTAATTGATGCACTTAATCCCAATTAAGCCTTTGAACGAGATCGAATTTCAATAATGCTCAAATGGTAAGTGGTTTAAACATTGCAAGAATACTGTACTAAAAGTATTTAAGAGGGCAATTATATTTTTTAAATGAAGTGAATTTGACACAAATTTCAGGGTAATTTTCTTACTCCCAAAAATGGTGCCAAAACACTTACCCTTCTAAGTTCAATATATCCCTTCTAAGTTCAATATATTTTAACTGTCACTATGGATATTGTCAGGTTCATATAATTCAAGATGCAATGCCATAATATCTGTTTAATTTCAATAAAGGGCGTTACTTCCATGATTCTCAAATTTGACCCAAACATAAATGAGAGCTTAAATTATGCCAAAAGGTGCATTTAGAGTTTTCATCTCAGTTTTGGCTGTAGTTTTAGATGATTTAGAAAGTTTGTGATGCAAAAGATAAGCCTTTTAGGGTTAATCCTAGAGCTGAAGAAGAAATCTGAGTTATGGACCTTGCTTTCATTTATGGTTCCAATGCACAACAAATAAATTTATTGAAAATCAAATCAAATAAATTGATAAACCAATCAGGCATTAGAGGAAACAAGAAACCTATTGATAGATGTAAGAAGCAAAAATACTAGACACTCTAAGCAACAAAATTTAGCAAGAAGACATTATATAATTATACTTACCCTCAATGCTGTTTTTTGTAGTGCAGATGAGCCTATATAAGCTTTAACAAGCCTGCATACTATCATATCTGATGGTATCTTTATCTCATGATAATTTTTCAACCACGGATGACCTAAGCATAAAACATGAAGAATGTTACTAAATTTCTCAAAAGAAAAAAAAAATAAAGTGAAACATCATTAGAAATAATCATTGTCAGCCATATAGTCTACTTAATGGAAGAAAATGGTGAGGACATTTTCTTCATCAGATTATCTCCTTCAAAATTACTCCATGACAAATGATGAAAAGTAGTAAAAAAAAAGGGTAACACCATTAGTGCTGTTAGATAAATGCTGTTTCTCTATACCAGGTGATCAAGTTAGTAAACATAAATAGTTTCAGCTACTTACTCAGAGCCTGAGCAGCAGTTAGTCTCTTACGGTAGTCCTTGTTCAACAATCTCTTTACAAAATCTGTCGCTTCAGGAGATAAAGAAGGCCAAGGGGCTTCATCAAAGCTTGGATCAGCTTTAAGGACAGTACGAAAGATGCCAGATTCTGTCCGTGCCCAAAATGGTCGACTTCCACAAAGAAGTATATAAGCAATTACTCCAATACTCCACATGTCTGCCTCAGTCCCATATGATCTATGTAGTACTTCAGGAGCAACATAATATGCACTTCCTACGATGTCATTCAGTCTTTCATCTAGCAAATCCTACTATAGTCAAAATCCATTCCTTTGAACAGTAGCAAAGAAGGGAGCACCAGTGAGTAGTTCTAACCTGGCTTTACATAGTCTGACAGTCCAAAATCGATGGCCTTCAGAGGGGAATTTTCATCTTTAGTAGTGAAAAGAAAATTCTGAAACAAAAAGTAGAACATCACCATTAAAACGAAGTGTATGCCACACTATGACAATCATAACATGGAGAGAATCATCTTGTAGAAGTTGAAAATTTTATCATTAGGCATCTAATTTAATAATTTTACAATCCAGTTCTCCAATTTCATAGCCTCATTATCATTCGATATAAGTAACCAAATAATAATAATAGAGAGAGAGTGACAGCGAGAGAGAGAAAGAAGAGAAGAGAAGAGAATACCAACAACAATGACCATATTCTAGTATAATTTAACACCTAGTCAGATTCCAAGTCAAGTATTCAACATGGGAATTTTCAACTATGAGAATTTTGAACATAAGTTTAAAGAAAGTGCACTTAAAACCAAAGACTGACATGCTGGAAAGAAATTAAAATGAAAGTAAACAAAGATAAAATGTATCTTTAGCAATTCACTAGAGTAATCCTTCAGAAAATCAAAGTAACCACTTGTCCTAAAAAGGATTAAAGCATTCAAATATGAAACCTATTAGAGATACACTCTCAAGCAAGATTCTTAAAGAGAGGGTGGTAGAAGAGAATAACAATTAAGCATAAGTCATAACCACTCTCAAAAAAGGCCACCCAAATTATTCAAACGCAAATTTAGTCATATAAATAGGGTGAATGAGGCTTCCACACTTCATACTTTCATTTAATGGATTAAGTTTCTAGAATGGTGATCAAGAGACTTGATGTTCTAGACTACAAAGAGTACGGTTATGATGCATAATATGTATAAGTCAATTACCTCTGGCTTGAGGTCACGGTGAACTACACCTTGGAGATGACAAAAGGCCACGAAACTTAAAATCTGAACCATAACAGCCTTAGCATCTTCTTCTGAATACTTTCCACCCCTAGAGAACACAAGCCCAATCCATGTTGTTAGAAGGTCATAAAACAGGTCAAACATTTTACCACAAAGGAAAAAGTTAAGAGGAATGTACCTTGAAAGTATTCTATCTAGCAGTTCACCACCTTTGCACAACCTGAAAAGCATTAAAAGTAATAGAGAATAAGCTCCAGTAATTTAAAGCTGTAAAACTGATTCGAAAACTTTAACTGCGGACAAAATTCTCTCATTGTGGGTTTTTTCCCCTCAAAGAAGAAGAAGAAAACAGAGACATAGGAAAGGAAAATGTTAAGAACAGTAAGACATCAGGTAAAGCAAACAAAACAATCTTATTTCATTAGTAGAAATTTGCTCCAATGATATTTCCAGCTCAAAGGATATAACTTATGACCAGGTGTAAACCATTTGGCCGAATAATTTTATTTTCATGAATAATATATAAACTGGTTACTTTAAAGCTTGGCAATCTCATTAAGATTTACAGTCTCATACAAATGGAGAGTATAGATGTTAAACTCCAATGCTATTGCTGATCACTAAAGTGCACAGTGAAAATCAGTTTTGCCATTAAACTGATTGCATCTATCAATGATTTTCAAGCATTAAAACTTTGGCATTGCTTCCCAAGGAGTCAAAAAATATTAGTCCATCCCATAATAACAAAATTATATGATAATAGACCAACATGTAAGACAATTAAAGCTATATTAAGAAAAGTCAGTCTGCTCAAACTTACTCCATCACTACATAAACATTGTCATCATCTTCATAGGCATCGTAGAACTGAACCAAGTTTTTATGACCAGTTAAAGCTCGTAATATCTTCACCTCTCGTCTTACATCCTCTATGGCAATTGCTGTGGTCATCTGCACACAAACAATATTTGTGTCAAAATACAGCAAACTGTTCATTGATTTTTAAAATAAGTAGCCAAGACAGCAGTAGCTATTAAAACTGTTCTTTGAAGTAAGACTAAATTATGTGGATGTATATAGGTTCTGCCAAGTCCTCACCACCAAGTCCTTCGACTGGAATAAGAGGTTAAAAATATCACAAGTCTATGATCATACTTCACTATAATCTAATTTGAAATGTGATAATAATTACACAAAAAAAGAATGCTGAGTCCTTCAATTTTAACACACAAACACACAATATTTGCAATATCATTAACCAAGCCGAATATAACTGGTTGAAGATAATACCATCATATATAAATGGAATCCAGATATTCTCCTGATAAATTGAACTGTAAACAAAATGAATCAAGTCCAATACTTGCCAACAATCAATAGCAAAAACAAGTGTTTCCCAAGAAACAAAATGGATATCTAAGATACACCTTAAGAGTTAAAGGAGTCATAATATGATGTGCAGTTCAAAAGATCCTCAATCAGAGTGAAAACAAAACGCAAACCTGCAAATTACTTAATGACTTAAGCAAAAGAAAAATTGGCTTAAAAGTAAAATTAACATAAAAATTAGACCTTGGACTTTGGAATAACTTTAATGGCAACCTCATGGCCTTTCCGGCTTCCTTTCTTGGCCTTAGCCGAGCAAGTATATCCAAAATGTCCACGCCCCACTTCCTCACCAAGCTCATAATGAGACATAAAATGTTTTGAAAACCCAAAATTCTTATCCAAACCAATCTCATACTCATTTCCCTCAGGAATTGAGGCCTCATTGGGCTTAATAGAGCCATGCCTTCTTGCCAGCAGTGCCTTGATATGCTTTGCCGGAGAAGGAGGAGGAAATGGGCGTTTGAAGATGCGCAGGGGAGTAGAGTTCAGACTTGGTATTGCTGGGGATGTCTTGAAGAGGCTTGGCAATGGACTGGGACTGTAAAATGGGAAATTTGATGACTTTGTGGAGTGGGAATTGAGTGGTGCATCATTTTCGCCTGGGATTGCGATGTCTCCTGATTGATTTTGTTGGTGTTCTATGGGTTTTCCATGACAGAGTCCCATTGGAAACAGAGTCCCCAAGGAGTATAAAAAAGTTGAACTCTTTGATCAAGAAACCACAGGAAAAGTGCAAGAAATTAAACCATAAGGAGGTAAAAGTGAGAAACTGGACAGAAGAACTTCATAGTGTGTTCTTGAGTTGAAAAAACTTGAATTTAACAGTTTGATCAAAGGAAAGAAAAATATATCACAGTAAATTTATCCATAAGACCAAACTCCAAGAAAATTCCAAAGCAAAAAGAAAGAGTACTCAAGAAGGAGAATTACTTTTAAAAAAACTATAATGAGAAAAGCAATTCAACTTTACTGATCACACAAAAACACTGCCAGATTGACAGAAAGAAAAAACCCAATGAAGAAGAAGCAGCAGCAGAAACTTCGTTTGATGCAAGAAGAGAATGAAGAGTAAAGAAACAAGACCACAATAAAAAAAAACCTTACTCCAAGAAGAAGGAAAGAATAAAAGAGAGTAAAAGAACAGAAAAAAAAAAAAGGTTGAGGTAAAGATGCTTAGCAGAGTCAGTAAGAAAAGGAGAAAGAAAAAACCAAGATTTCTTTGTTTCTGCTTTTTGTAAGCTTTTTTTGTTATGGGTTTTTATTTTCGTGTGGAAATATCACTTTCTTTGTTGTAGAGAGAGATGAATAGGATAATCTTTCCTCAAATAATTTATGGAAGTGGGGTTGGGCTTTGGATCCTTCCAAAATAGATACATATGGATGATGAATTGATGATACATGATGGTGGAGGAGAAGAGTTTTGTGCAGTGTATTTGCAGTTAACATGTCAATATTGTAACAAGTTTTGATTTGAGGAAAAAAAAAAAAAAACTCAGCTCCCTCCCTTAGTCCTTGTGCATCTCAGCTTTGACTCGCCTGTTTCTTGTTGCCATCCAATGGCATTTGTATTCTTTTTTTTTGCCCTTTTTTTTCTTCTGTAAACTAAAATATGAGTACTACTGCTTTGCTGGACATTTTGGTTAGCCCCTAAAATAATTTTTCAACCTATTTTAAATAGATACAATAATTTTAAACATAATGTGAAAATGATAAAAAAAAAAAAAAAAAACATGATTTAAAATTTTAAAAAATACATATTTTTTATATTTTTATGTTAATATAAATTATGATATGATTATTTCTATATTTTATATGTGTTTAATATAAAATAAATATGATATAAATGATCAATAATTAAGTTAATTTTAAAATAATTTTTTCTAATAAAATAACAATAAACAGTATGATTTGTGAACAGGGTAGCTTCTGCTATCCTCTGTTTGCAGGGGCTGCTTAGAGAAATTAGATTTTTTGTTCAAATATCTATTTATGAATTTCTTGCATATGCTTTGTCAAACTCCCAGTCTTGTTGAATCTGTAGATACACTTTTGACCAACCTAACATTGTTGAAAATTCATTCACATCGGCTTCTTCACTTTCTGTTCATATTAAAATCACAAGCCAGTTTGGCAAGCAATGTCAAAGGAACTTAGGCAGGGCAATCCTGGGAAAATTGTCAAATTTGCTCCACATATAATCTAAGAAGACTAAAATCCAACTGCCCTCTTTGATCCTACTAAACTCTTCCTCTGAATCCCGAATTAATTGTTAAAATTTAAACCGCAGTTGTCGCTGCAATAGGATGTTCATGAAAACCATAATTCGCAGGGTAAGTGGCTTCAATTCTGGTAGGCTTTCTTCTCAAAAGTAGGTGCATCTACTTTCACGTGAGGGTCCATTTAATGTACAATATAATTTGTTTTAGTGAGATTAAAAATTATCATGATAATGTAAAAACCATTTTATTTATTTTTTTTTTCTCGTTTTTGTATTTGTCTTTTTCTTTTTTTTTTTCGTTTTTAAATTCATCGACACAAAATCGTTATAATAAATAATATTAAATTTTATAAAAATAAAAATAAAATTAATTATAAATATTCGTATTTTAATACAAATGCAATAATGATAATAAAATTAAACAGTCATTTGTTAAACTTAAAAATTCTTTTATTTTTTAATTTTATGGTAAAAAATTTAAATGCTGTACAATTCAATGATTCCAATCTTGAAAGGACAACCCGAGATGATCAAACTAAAAACTAGATATTTTTATAAAGTTGAAACCTATCTGAAATCCATAACGACATGAACTTATAATTTTTAAATATGATTTCTTATGACACATAACATCAAAACTATGTCAATTAAATTATCAGTCTCCCCATTTTAAATTCAATGTACAAAATGTTGTGCATTTAAGTATAATTATTGCTTAATAAGATGTTATGAGTATAACATGGTGTTCATTTAAGTAAACAAAATAAACAATTGGATTGGTGTGGCACAGCAATTGCATGCCTCTATCAGGTTGACATCATTTACTTCACCCAATCCAATCATCAGATGCAACCCCAAACGTTCGATGCAACCAATCAACTTCACTGCCAAAGTGTCAATCTCTGTCCTTTTTTTAAAAAATCTTTTTAATGTTTAAATTAACTCAAAAATGCAAATGAGGCATCGATGTAGTAATAACAAAAAAGTCTTAAATTTTAAGGTTTTTAATTTAAGTTTTATAGTATATATGTTTGATTTAATTTTACTTTACACTTATTTTATTATATTATAATTTATTAATTAATTCTTCGTCGATTTATATAAATATAATATTTAATGATAATTATAATTTCATAAAAAAATAGTGGATGAATATTAGATTTCATCTTGTCAAAACTGCTTGAATATTCATCATTTTTTTTTCTTTTCTTGAATTTAATCCTAATAGGTCAGATTGAGTTTGATTAGTTGTTTTTGCTTTATATTTTAATTTCAAAAATTAAAAAAGCACATTTTGATATAAAAGTAAATAAATTTTTTAAAGATTATATTCCAAAAAATATATAATATTTTAGATAAGAAAATACATATTATATTATTGTCTTTTGCTCCTTAACCAAGTGGCAAAAAAAACTTTAAAGAAGACATTAAAACTTTGGTTTGAATCAAACTTCTTTTTCTCCTTTTTCATGTAATAAGGGGTGCTCTCCTTTAAATGAAAAAAAAAAAAAAACATATTATATTTTTTATAGGTGAATTATGTTATATTTGACATTAAATTTTAATTACTTGTCCATTTTAAATCAACTATGATATTGCTTTTTTTTTTTTTTACATATTAAGTGTCAGAAATTAATTATTCCTTGAAATTTTGTTTATTCATTTTAAACCAATTGTGATATTGTTTTTCGCCATTTGTTTCTGCTTTATAATAATTAAAAAAATAAAAAACAAAAACACTGGAGCCTAAATAATAAAAAAATTTAATTATCATACGCTCCTTATGCCGCAATTGAGTCATGCTCTCTCTTGGTAACTGCTTCAAGCATGTGGGACATGTAAGCTCATTTGTTTCTTAGAAATTAATTTTTAAAAAATAATTTTTGTCTTTTATATTTATTTAATAAAAATTAATTAATCAATAAAAAGTAATTTACTAATAAAATAACGAGCAGTGCTGAGATAAGATTTCTTGTATCGTTTATTTGTCTTCTAATTAATCCCAATAAGCTTTCTGAGCAAGGATTAATCACAGTATCCTCTCTTCTTCTTTTTTTTATCGCCATTTTTGTTCACCTTGTGTTACTTCAACATATTAAAACTACTCAATTCTCCTCTCTACCATCCACATCATTTCCTTGAGCCACTTCTCAACAAAAAGGAATATCAAAACCCATGATTGATTAATTTAGCCAAAACATGAATCATCTTGAAGTTCAACTCATGATCCACCGGGTGTCTTTGGACCACTACCTCTGACTCAATTGGTGTTCATGAATCCAAACCTGGTTGCAAAATCACTCTAAATCCTCCAACTTGTGATCATAAATGTACATTTGTCATTAGGATTTGAATTAAAAATGTGATTATATGAATCAACAAAGTTAAATTTTAAATTTTTAAAAAAAAATTTTTGTTATTGAAATAAAATTTAAAATTTAAATCCTAACATTTGCGATCTTTTTTTATACAAAAAAATTAAAATTTTTAAATTTTAGATTCATATATGGATTTAATATAATTTAATATTAATTTTGTTTGATTTATTACTTATTTGGGTATTTGATATATATTGAATTCTTCTCTTGGATATGAAATATGTCATATTTATTGAAAATCGTTTGCTTTTGTAACTTTTCCTTGTAAAATTATGCATCAAAAAAGCAAGAGAGAAGAAGTGAAAAAGCTAAGTGCTGGTTCTTTTATGGTCCCTAATGATTCGTTCGAGACCTCAAAAATAAAAGCAAGCTAGCTTACTTAAAAGACAAAATGCACTGGAAAGAATTTATCCTTTGTGGCCCTCAATATATAATTGACAAATAATTTCTTGGGAGAAATTTTTCTCTAATCAAATGTGACATGAAAAAAAAATTTATATATTGGATTTAGTAAGCATCTTTTCGTTGCACTTTGTGCTATATAAAAGATGGAAAATATTCTTCTTTCCACACATACAAGAAAAGGGATAAAAAGAAAGAAATTCTTATTCCTTGATACCCTCTTCTCCACCCCTTCTTTTCTTATAGAATAAAGCTGATGTTCGATAGAGAAATGTAATAATAATCCTAGACAATTAGAAATTTATATGTTTTTCTGACAATATATAAAAGAAATTTATATGTTTTTTTTACTTCTATGGAGAAGAGAGAGAGAGAGTTGATTTGTGAATTAAAAATAGAGCACGTGAACATGGAAGAACATGGGGGACAGATGTTTTTTCAAGGCAGAGAGAATGGAAATGGTTGAATAAGAAGGCAGTATTTAAGCAATTTGGTCAAATGTTTGTTAAAACCCATTTAATAAAAATGATGATAATGAGAATCCGAAGGGTACTGAGGCCGCTAATCACGATGAAGTGGCAGCTCACAATCTCTCTCCCACATTTGGCTTAATACACAAAAGAAAAAAAAAAAAAAAGTCTTGAAAAGTTGAAACTTTGTTGTGGGACAATTTAAAATAATGCCTTGATTTGCCATTATTGTTTACTTAATTTGGTGGCCCCCTTTCTTTCACTATCCCTTTCTCAGCTGGCTGCTACTACAATCTACCATGGCTTAATTAGCGCTTATCTGAACGTGGATTTGTGAGTTCCATCTTCGTAAATTCATTTTTCCTATTTCTTTGTGTTGATGTACTTTTGTTTGGGTGATAAAGGTTGAGCAGCTGAGCTTGTTAGACTTGTCAAGAGAGAAAAAAAAAAAAAAAACCTCTACTTTCAAGAATGGATTCGCCACTAAGAATGTGAAAAATAAGCAAAGCGAGAGTAGAAAATAAGCAATGGATTGTTTGCTTTAAGATCATGTGTGAATATTGATAATTTTACATTGGAAAAGCTGATGAAGTGACCATCAAAGGTAACACTTTGCATTAATATTTTCCACTGCATTTATATGTAAGTATTGGAAAGTAATTCTATTTGATCTCATAAATTTAATTGTTTATTTCAAAATGAAGTTTTATGTGCTAATCCCTGTGTTACGGATTTAAAGAAAAATCATGACTCTCACATCGAACATAATAAGAGGGTCACTGGAGTATAAAATAATTCATACCACATCTTCCTTGTGAGACGCTTTTTATAAGATAATATCGTGAAGTCAGAAGGATCAGAGTAGACAATACCTCACAAAGGTGTGAAGTATGACAAGTAGGCTGTTTCGGAAGGCTAGAATGGTGAATATCTGAGTATCAAAATCACGCGAGTTCGAAACTTAAGTCTCACTCGTGACACCTGAGTTATTCTCTTGAACAAAAAA